AAAATACAGATTGACTCTAATTCAGTTAATTCAATATGCAGCAAATATTTGCAGTTCCTCCAGAGAGTTCCCCATTAGGTCACTGTGTGTGTAAGTTATTTGCATATTGGTAGTATACTACTGTAAAGCGTCTACTACATATCTAATCAAATGAAAGTAAAAGGGGGAGAAAAAGGGCATTTTATAAATTTCCATTCTTCTTCTACTAAGTGATGAGATAGGGGAACCAAGTATGTTTCATGCAATAATAGCAAAACTCCTATTTTGTTACATCAGAAAGACCAAAATAAAGATAGGGAGCTCGGTTGTGATGTGATTCCAAGCCAGAAGATGCACCATTGATTAGGCTTGCAACCATTTCTTTCATCAGCAAAGCTGATGTGCATGATCACTTTGGATTGTGGACATACAATTAACAAAATATTAATAGTATGCCTGGCAGGAGAGCCAATTTATTTTTGGCTTGGGTGCAGTGCAGAAAAATCTGTTCAAAGCCTGACTTTGTTTGGAAACCTTGGAACCCTGAAGAATTCCTTCCACCATTAGAAGAAAGGTTTACATCCTCCCAGTTCTTGTGCTTTGGGCATTGTAGCAATTCCCATAAAAGAAATACAGGGTTGACAATTTCACATACCTCCCTAAGGAACTCAGGTCAAGAGGGTTTTTGCATGGAGAAAGGATGAGATTTTTACTGTAGGATGTGCAAAAGCCAATAGCTTCTACTCCTTTTTTCAATATTTTTAGCATGGTGCTGAAGGTCATTTTAAAACTGCTTTTGAGAGACTAGGAATGAAACACAACAGTGGAAGTATAACAGTGGAAGATCGTATTTTATCTGATCTTATTTCACCTGCAAAGAACACTGTCTTCTATTAAAATGGTTTTGGAACAGCTTTCTCTAATTTTGTGCTTCACACGTATGTTAGAATTCAAATCCCAGAATACTCAACCAACAAAGCCACCTATCTGAAGGATATCAAGCTAAGGCAGAGTGCTTTAAACAACATATTAAAATATATGAATGTACAATAAGTATTAAATATACCCAACAATTATATTTTCAGGCATTATTGTAGGTAAAAGCAAAATGGGCAACACCGACTATTTGAATAGCTCTCTCCAGGTGTGACCACTCTAAAGATCCAAGTCAGACTCGGGACTTTTTATACTATGGCCAGGAAGAATAGGTTGTCCAAATTCCATAAAATCCCACAAAATGTCTCTGATGATGGTTTTTCACTGGCAGAGATTCTCCAAGATCAGATCTGCCTAAAGTGTCTCTTTGCAATGTTGGATCTGTTGAATATGCATAACACACTAAATTATAAATCATGGTTAACCAACCACAACAGCTTAGTCAAAATAAAACATGCTATATTATTTATATGTTCATTCAATTTATATAATCATTTGCCAACCAGATGATGCAGGCTGGTTAATAAAAGTTAAAAATATCAAATACAAAGGAAAAATAAATAATAAAACAAAATAAAATATACTATGCCTGGGTCCCATTATGGTCTTGTAAATTGTATGAAATCAAACCATTATTTTATATACTGAATTTATTAAAGATATCATAGCATCCCCTAACAACTCTCTTGGTAGTTAACAATAAATAAATTTAAAATCACTCTATTAAAATAAGCAATAAATAACATTTAAAAACAACAGTTAAAACCTGATTAAAAGGATGTATTTCAGGAGCTTTTTATAAGCCAATTAAGAGGTCAGTTGTATTAAATTAGAAAGCAATATCTCCTAAAATCTGGGTATGGTTTAATATTATGTATCTTAGACACTGCAGCTTCTCTTGATATCAGTTTGTTTATTCTAAGATACTAAATACATACAGAGAGAACCAACTGTGAGTGAAATTTGATTACCAAATTCCTATATCATGTTAAGTCATGGGGTCAATGATTTTTTTTCAGGACCAAACTATGATTGCACTGTAATTTAGAATGTATGAACTAAGCTTTATGGTTTGTTCAGTTAACGATGGTTAAAATAAATAATGCCCTAGGGCAACTTCCCCAAATGTGGAGCCTCTGAGATGTGTAGACTTAACTCCCAGCCAATATGATCCTAGTTGAACCTTCTGGAACTGGAACACACACAACTGGAATGTGATCATGTTGAGGAAAACTGTCTTAGTCTGTTATGTGAACCCAGTTTTATATAGGCTGCAGCAATGTATCTTCTATATATGATAATTCTCAAGTAAATTAACTCTATACACTTTCTATAATGCTAAGATGACAGTATGTAAATACTCATTAATCCTTTCCAGAACTGATGGCTTTGCATGTTTTATGAACAAAGCCATTATCAGGCAAAAGCAATCAATACCATGAACCATGGTGCTCAGTGGCTTGAAGACACTGGTGATAATCTTTGCTCCAGTGGTTCAAGTCCTAGCACTGCATATAACAGAGTGAATTCCCATCACTTACCTCAGCTTCTACCATCCTAGCAGTTTGAAAGCATATTACATGCAGGTAGATAAATAGGTACCATTTCAGTGGGAAAAAACGGTGCTTTGAGTACCAGTATAAATTCAACCAATGTTGAACCTGCCCAAAGGCGACATGACATTGGTGGTGGAAAAAACCTGGATGAACCACAGGATGCCCTCAGGTTCTATGTGTGTAAAGCTAGTCTGCCCCCCTGTGGTATACTCTGGCTAGCATGCAAGCATGAACATGACGGACTGGCAGTTGTTGGCAGCCAAACAACTAGTTTGTAATAGCATTGTAGTCTCCTGGCTAATGTATCATCACCATAAACCAAATAATAATCAGAATCACTTGTGAATAGGTCCAAGTATATATTTTATTGTAGATCACCTATATTACAAGAATCATGTCAGACTGTCTGCCTTCCCTTGGGAAATGGCAAATATAGACCTACAGGTTTGATCTCAGGTGTTTCCTCCTTTTAACCAACTCTAAGCTGAAATGTCTCTTAACTCCCCAATGAATAGGTTTTTTAGCAAGTCTTTTTTAGAGAGAGGGTGGCTTTTTATATTTGAACAAAGTAGGGCAACCTGAAGAGCCAATTTGGTTAAGGCACCAGGCTAGAAAGAATTCTAGTCCACACCAACTTGTGACCTTCTGCCAGTCACTGTCTCTCAGTCTTAGGAAGGAAGCAATGGCAAAACTATTTCTGAAATCCTACCCAAAAATCTGCAGGGAGTCAACAGTGATTCAAAGACACAAAAACAGTCAGGCATAAGTAACCAGATCCACCCATGAAAGATTGAAGTTGACTATTTTATTGTTTTCTACCTATAATATAAGAAACTCCCCAGACTGCTTGCCCTTCTTTGAGAACAGCAAAAGTTTTATGGAACTTAAGTGGGAGTCAGTCCTAGATGTCTTGCATCTGGACAGTGAATCAAAGCTAACTCCCGACTTGATCCCTCCTCCTTCCGTGGCTCATGGTTTCCAATCCAACAGGACAATCTGACCTCTTACACAGATAGAAATCCAAGATAGGTACAATATTTATGACTGGAAGCTTTTGGCATCCACTTGCATCTGACCTTAACAGGAAGCTCTTTGTGAAGGTTTCTGTTCGATTATCTTAACACTTGGAGAGTATTGCACTAAGCATATAAGAATATGATCTAAGACAGTGGTTCTCAACCTGTGGGTTGGGACCCCATTTGGGGTCGAACGACCATTTCACGGGAGTCACCAAACAACGCAGTCCACCATTTTTTCCCCCTTTTCCTTAGTTGTGCTACTCTCTTTTATTCTATTGGCTTTTGAAAGCCAATAGAATAGATTCTCTTGAATAGAGTCTAATTCTATTGGCTTTCAAAAGCCAATAGGAATTGCCCAGGCTGTCTCTGCCCTGCTGAGCCCACCAAAAGTCCCATTCTGCAAACGGTGCTGCACCAGTTGAGTAGTCCTCGACTTACGACCGGTTGAGTAGTCCTCGACTTATGACCAGTTGGGGGTCGCGGCATTTAAAAGATTGAGAACCACTGATCTAAGAGATTTCATAAGCAATTAAGATTTAAAGACTATTATTCTGAGAGGGCACCTAACTAATGTAAGGTTTCAAAGTTAAGCAGAATCAGATCTGGTTAGTTTTTGGATGGGGACTGCCAAAAAGAGAAATCCAGTTGGATTAGAAAGATCCCAGAAGAATATAGTGACAAACCACTGAAATATTATTGCCAAGAAAACGATATAGGTTTCTCGGTAGTGACCAAGATTGAAGCTGAACTCAAGGGACTTTTATTCTGGTTTATCATTATATTCTTCAGGGATCTTCTTAGTCTAACTGGATTTTTTTTTTTTTTTTTTTGCAGTACCCCCTCCAAAAACTAACCAGATCTGATTCTGTCTGCTGGCAGTTTTGAATCACTGGGTAATTTACATGAGGATTCTTTCCAAAAGTGGAAGCAAAGCATAGCTCATGCTTGAGAACATGCGAAAGTATGTTAATATGTTCCACTATGGTCATCAAAGATTTGTATTTTGGAATGGAACAGAGATAGGCAAAATGATCCTAATCAAGTCAGCATTTGCTAAGTCAACTTAAGACCATTCCAGCTGGAGTCACATTTTAAATACAAAAACCAATCAAAGATTGGAATGATAATAATAAGTGTCATGATTTTAAAGTAATAGATGAGGAATTTTATTTTTTTTCATTTTATCGTAGTATAACCCAGCCTAATCCCAAAAGATTCTGGGTGGCATACAACATAAAAGAAAAAAACCCACAATAATAAATAAGTGAAATGAATATCAAGAACAAAATAGCAATATTATCCATGAACTCTATTAATTGTTACAAGTGTAGATTGGTCTGATTGATAATTGACTATAGTTCACTAAGCAAGTCTCATTAACACATAATGCAAATTCACATACTATAATTCACAATCCACAAATGGTCTGAGTTCATATAAGATGCTAACCTAAACCAAATAAATTACTTTATAGTATCGTTTAGTGTGATGTGCAGACTCAGACAGGATAGGGTGCCCAGCATTTAGAGAATTTTGTTCATTTAACATTTTTAGTTGCCAAACACTTTTTAATCTAGAGTAATTAATGCCAGCCATTCATTGAACAGAGAAATTAAAAGCACTCTTGTGATTTCATTGAATCACAGGGCTAAATCTTTTCCTTGCCCCATTAACACCAATCTTAAAGCCAACACTCCTCCTTTACTTTGGCTTAGCAAGAAAGATCCTGTTCACTCATGAAGTTGATTTTTTTATTCACTTATAAATCACAATTGTCTGGGTTTATGAAACTAAACAAATTGTATTCATTGTAGAAATACCTTCTTTGGTTTTTAACTTTATTTTATTTGGAAGGAACCTCTTTATCATTATTCTCTGTCCCATATAAAATCATCAACTACTTTAAACAACGAAGTGTTCTAAGTCTCTTTAAAGGTAACTCCCTACACTTCCCATGAGGCCCACTCCTGTATAAATGTGCATGGCTGTAGATCAAAGCTTCTTCAAATAAACTTGATTTTTAAATAAGTATTTTGCCAGAATCTCCCAACAGCTTGTTCTTTCTCCCAAAATAAAAAAAAGTAGATGTCCATAAGTTTCAAAAAAATATTTCATAAATTAAGCCCACTAAGAATTCTGATCTGGGTACGAACTTTTGCTGTTCTATTTCCTTCCTCTGCGATGTAGTATTAAAAAAAAAAAAAAAACCTGTTCTGTGAACCAACCATGGATTTTCCCGGAGCCATTCAATAAATACAGTAGATTCGAAATGTGGCACCACTCATTCAGCCCTTCAGCCACCCAGACTACAAAGCTTCTTGCCTATTTCAAAAAGAAAAAGAAATAAAAGATTTAAAGTCTCAAGAAGATTATGCTTGCACTATCGGGATGTAAGTTTAAAACAAATTGGGCAAGGGAGCCTCTACTTGGCCGAGGAGGACCTGTTCACTCCATTTCCTCTTTTCTATCTCTTTCATCAGGCTGTTCCTGGGCTGCTGCTGCCCTCCTGCTGCTGCTCTTTGGAGCCCACGCTTTCCCTATCGGAGATTCCTCCGGAGAAGAGGAATTTGGCGAGGATCCCTCCTCCAGAACTCCGGCAGCCGGGCGGGTCCAGCTGAACGCTCGGACAGAGTTGGCTCTTTGGTTACAAGGCACTGCGGCGAGGTGGAATCAAGAGGTGAGTTCGGGTGCACAATAAGGAAGTCTGAAAGTTGCTGTTTGTCGGGAGCCGAAAGAGGAGCGTGGCCCTTCTTCTGATCTGAGCTCTCCTGACTTTTAACAAGGAGGATGCTCCGTTTTCGGGAGCGGGTGTCTGATTGCACCGTTTCTTGGAAGGGCCGGGAGTCGTTTTGATTCCCGTGCTTAGATGACTTTGAGTCTTGCGGCATGAAGCTTACCTGATCCGCGGGATGGGGTTTGTACTTATCTGGCTCGCCAATTAGAGTCCGATCTTTGCCAGAGAAGCTGGTGAATTACCTAGGACAGTATTTATTGCAAGCAAGAAAAAGAAAGGCAAAGTCTTGAGGGGGATCCAACAACTTGCTCGAGCATTCTTTACAGGAACTCCCAACCCCATCTGTTATATGAACTCGAAAGTTTGCATATTGTTTCATGGTCCCATCAAAGCATTGCTTTAATATGCTTTTTGGAGAATATACAAATATTATCATCTAATAGCAACGATTGGTTAAAACATCTGCTAATCGTGTGGCTATTTAAACAGAAATTGGTTTATTATGAAATAAGATTCCATGGATCACTTCCTCAGATGTAGGGATCTGAGCCAGTGGATTTTGATACAAACAAGTTTGGTTAGTTTTTCTAGTGACTTAAAATTCTTTGCTATTTTTGCTGCACAAAGCAAACACAGTCCTTTTTGGAAGCAAAAGCTATACTCTTTTAATTGCTGGATTAAGTATACAGCAGTGCATTATAAAAGATTGTCCAGTTTGTCCGTATAAGGATTGTATCCTTTTTTCCCCAATTAAAAATAAAAACAAATAAGTTTAGTTTTAACATTCAACTAAGCAAAGATAATTCTGGGAATTTTATAGTAGAGGAACTCAAGAGGAAGTTACCTTCTGTATTCACTTCTCAGGCATGTATGTTTTCACTTTCATTTTTAAATTGCTCAATGTATCAGATGCCCATTCTTTATTTGTGTAGTATTTGCTTGTGGGTTAGGCAAATTCTTTATAGTGCACTGTAGTCTTTTTCAGTCAGGTTTTCAGTGGCTCAGAGAAAATATACTTTGGACAGTTGACTGTATACTACAATAGTTCCAATAAGTTGAAATTATTTCCACATATTTGTGAATCCCATATACACTGCTATAGATATGACATTCTTACTGAATGGCAAATTAAGCACAAAACAGCTGTTCCAGATCTACAAGAAGCAGCTTGATGTTCTTCTGACCATACCATTAGTTTTTTAAGCTCTTAACATTCATAATATGGGCAAAATTGCAGTAGAAGAATTTTCAATAAGGATATAGAGCAGGGGTCTTCAAACTTGGCCCTTTTATGATTTGTAGACTTCAACTCTCAGAATTCCTCAGCCAGCATGCCTGATTGAGGAATTCTGGGAGTGGAACTCCACAAGTCATAAAAGGGGCCAATTTGAAGACCCCTGATATAGAGCAACCTATTTTAAACTCAAAACAGGTGATGGGGTGATTGGGTTGTTCATCTCCTTCTACAATCAGTGCTGGCTATTTATTTGCAACAGCAGTCTATAAAGTTATTTTTCATTGCAGAACATACTTGCATAGCACAGAAGAAAACTAAGCATATTAGTTAAAATGCTTAAATAGGTTTTGTGAGGTTTAAGTTAGTATAAAACCTAGCACAAACAACCATTAGCAATACAAATGGCAAACTATTTCAAAGTTCAAACCTTACTGTTTGAACTTAAGGTAGGTAGAACATTCCAGATTTCTGCCTGCTGTTAAAATTGTCAAATGTTACATTTACATGTTATTTTACTAGATGCACCATCAGACTTCCAGATATGCAAGATTTACCATTCTTACATTTGCTAATTACCATGGCTTGGGATTCTAGTAATTATAGTTCCAAAACAGTTTGATTTGAAGAAATTAATATAGACTGATTGAGTCAGAAAGCCATATAAAACTATAGTGGATCACCTGCAATCAATTATATCTTTATGTTTTACCAGCTGTGCAAGGAGCAAAATGCCTGTAAAGGTACATTGGAAATCATGGCACAAAATAATCTCAACCTTCCAAAGATAATTAAAGAAGATGGATGCTACCAGCCTGGATTCCAAAAGGCAAGTTGAATATTAATATACATTGGAAAGGTTAATGCTTTTTTGTAATATCTTGAAACATTTTATACATAAGCAGAGCAAACCTCTCATAACTGTTTCATCTTGCAACCAGAAGAATAACAGGAACATGAAAGTAATCAAAACAATTTATACATGAAAGTTGATATACCAAATGTTTCACATCCATGTTGGAGGAAGACAGTGGACTTTAAATCCTGGCGATCCAAAGCAACCTTATCTACTCATAGCTTGGAGGACACCTATGGATCTGTTTCTTCAAGACCTCATTTCTCTTTCTCCTCAGCTTGGAGATGGATTTTTAAGATATCATTATTTTGTTCATTCAATATGTAGTTAATTACATTTAGATATAATATGTACTATAAAATATTTAATGATCTATTGGAAATAACAATACTTTTTGTTTTCATTCATTTAGGAAAATTGTCTAAGAAAACTTTCAGGTGGCCTCTATGCATTCAGAACATTCTTGGAATATATAGAAGAAACTACACAAAGAAGTGTATCTATATCAACAGGTGCTCAGCACCTGGCAGAAACCTTGAAGTTGATGGTAAGCAGTATTTACATTTGACCTTGCACATTTGTTCTGCTATATCGGGGTCCCCAACCCCAGGTCTGTGGACTGGCACCGGTCGGCAGTATGTCAGAAATCAGGCCACACAAACAAGTGGAGCTTCCTCCACAGGATGCAGGTAGCATGCGAAACCACAGCCCCTTTGGTCTGCCAAAAAAAGCTCTCTCCATGGAACCAGTCTCTGGTGCCCAAAAGGTTGGATGCCACTGTGCTATATAATAGTAATAGCTGTATTTTTATTGATTTATTTATTAAAGTGATTTATTGAAGTTAAGTCCTCAACATTCTGATGCCAACTTCAATAAATTACTTTAATAAATAAATAAAAATATAGCTATCACTATTATATAGCAAAATAACAATGGCAGTACTACAGGTGTTCCTCAGCATTACCTTGTGAAATTGTCCAGCAAGAACTGGAGCAATCATAAATGGTACATCTATGTCTCACCCCAACTGGTGATCTGGTAGGATACTGATACTGAAAAATATAAATGCCTGGCAGATATGAGCAGGATCACATTTCTTCAATTCATTCTCAATGTCTGAAATTGAAATGTTATTGTCTAATATACAAATCTTAAGTTCTGGAAAAAATATCACTTTGATCAACATGCATGTTATCAGACTACAAACTATGGGTTATTTTTAATGAATTATTTCTTAAATCCATTGTTAATCTCTCTTTTGTATGGCTGCTATAATAATTAACTAAATTTCTAATGGGTAAATTTGGACTGTAGATTTTTATCACTCTCAAAATGGCTGCCACAGGAGCACTGGCCTAATCACAATGACAATGGGCATAATTGCTGCATTGGTTACAATAGAGATTAATTTATTGTTTACTTGTATCCCACCCTTATTATTTTTACAAATAACTCAAGGCAGTGAACATAACCAGTACTCCTTGCTCCTATTTTCCCCACAATAACCCTGTGACTTGGGTTGGCTGAGAGTGACTGGCTCCAAGTCATCCAGCTGGCTTTCATGGCTAAGGCAGGACTTGAACTCAGTCTCCCCCTTTCTAGCTTGGTGTCCTAACCCAGAGGTCCCCAATCTTTTGGACACCAGGGACCGGTTATGTGGAGAGAGGTTTTTCTGCGGACCGGAGAGAGAGCATGGTTTTGTGTGCTACCTGCATCCTGTGGATGGTGCTTTCCTTGTTTGTGTGGACCGATTGCTAGCATGCCATGGCCTGGTACCGGTCCACGGACCGTGGGTTAGGGGCCCGTCCTAACCACATTGAGCTATTAATTGGATTACTTTTTGACTAAAGAATATAGTGAGTATACCTCAGTTAAAATAAATGTAAATAAAATACAATTACCAAATACCAAAATAAATTTTATTTTCTGTAACAAGTGTAATTTATAGATTAGATATGCAAAATATTTTTGCACATAAAAAAGCAACCTTTTGTTTCTTCTTCCCTTCCTTTAACAGATGAACAATCCTGAGTCTGTGAGCATACCATCTCCTGACACTCAGAAAACTCTTGCTGCACAGTTAAGAGAACAGAGAGCTTGGAATATGATAGTGATCAAGCACTTTATTCTTCAAGATTTTACTTTATTTATGGAGACCACGTCAAGAGTTATTCGCCTTCTATAACAAGTTAACTGTAATGCCTGAATGCTTTAAATCAGGCATATCAAATATTCACATCTGAAACAGATGTCATGGTTGTTCTCCTGCGAGAATTTATTTTTTAGATATATACTTATTTATGACATTGATATAACTTATTTATGGTATTTAATATATTTATTACATATTTTAATAATTTTACTTCAAAACTTAATTTAATTTTAATAAATAATGTATAATTATATTTTTATAAAACAATTTAATATATTAAAATATTTTTAAAAGAAAAAAATCCTGCGAGTTTATAATGGAAGCAAATGTCGTCTCCACACACTGCAACTGTATTGCAGACCTATGCCATTTCTACCTTGAAATTATTCTAAATATTTATTCAACATTGTCATTCCAAAAGTAACATTCAAAGGGAAACTTTGTAGTCACCAACAATCTAAGATAAATCATTTTTTGCCTTATCTGTTTTCATTCAATTATCCTGGAACTATTTAAATAATTATTTCATAGAATGAGAGTTGTACTCAATTCAAGATTGCAAACTACATCCCAGGCAAATGGCTATGTAGACTTTGCTTGATAGCAATAAATTATCTATCTTGATAATTATTTCCACTTTAAAACTTTACTTTTTTGTCTTATAACATTCTATAAGAATCTACCTTCCTACAATTTAAATCCATTATCCCACATACCGTATTTTAGAAGAATGGAAAAAGCTAGTCCTGATCTTTTTCTATGTGACATCCTTTCAAATATTTAAAGACTACTATTATATCCCATCATCCTACCATCTTTTCTCAAGATTAAATATATCTAGATCCTTCAATCTTTTTTCTAATCCCCTACTCGTTTTCATTAGCACAGAACATGTTCCAGGACTGAATCTACTCTACAGGATGTAGAGTTCAATACCTGATATAATATACTATTCTGTCCAATACAAAATAAAGTGGAATAATTACTTTTTGCAACCAGCAATTATATTTCTATTGATGCAGCATAAAATTACTCTTTCTTGCAGCCACATTATGCTTCTGGCTCATACAGGTTTACAACCAACTACTATCCACTTATCTGGCTTAAGTTTTGTTATTTATAGCCTATTTCTACAAGCTCTTCACATTCACTACAATTTTTTCTATTCCTTGGATAATAGCTAATTCTATCCAATTTTATATAATTTGTAAGTAATAGTTTCTGGCTGAAAGTCCTTCAGGCCTTTTGTCTGCTATCAACTCCGGTGTTGCCGCAGCCTCACTAGGCACTAAATGTAGAGATCAATGTGCCAAATGTAATCTGCTACAGATGTGCCATTATTTTTAATTTATCAGGATGGGCCTCTGTCCATTAAGTTATTCAGGCCTGGCCTGCACTAATGCTAGGCAGGTGAAAAGACCAGAAAAAAATAGCTTTTCTTGTAATTTAATTATTTAGATTTATTCCACATCTTCCAATATTCCAGAAAATCAAAAATTTCACTTGACCTTTTGGATAGTTAATAATTTTGCCAAGGATTCTGTTAGGATTCTTGAATGAGTTCAATGGACTTGTTAACATTACTGAAATCAATTATAAAGCAGCGCTTCCCAATTTTTTCCCTTTATTACCCAGAAATGCTTATCAGAAAGTTCTTTTTGCTCAATATAGATAAAATACTTTAAGTCAATTTAAATGTCCTTTTGTGATTGGATAATCAGTTTGTGTATCATTATCCAAAGAAAAAACACCTTTATCCAATTTTGGGTAGCACAGGTATAAAGAATATTATATTGCATTATTTTCCCTCATTAAAAATAAGATTTGCTGAACTAATGGTGAAAAAAATGAACACTTCAGATTCTAATTATTATAAAGGCAAGACTCAATCAAATCCAAAGTGACTGTGATAGTTGACTAAATAAATAAACTCATCCACCTTGAAGCATAAATAAAAGACATGCTAATATTCTGGAAAAAACACTAGTTTGCCTCAATATCATTTTTAAAATCTAAATATTTATTCCAATAGAAATAACAAATACATTACACTGACAAAAATGTCATTTACATGTTATCAGATAAACAGCTGGCCAGTAGTATTGCATAACTGTCCTTCTAGTCTTCGGAATGTATTCATCTTCAAAGGCATACTCTCAAAATACATTGGTTAATTCCTTCAACCCCAAAGTAGACTAGGAGAAGCAAAAAAAGAACAAAATTGGTTAGTAAAATTGAAATATCTACAATATGTAAATACCATGTCCGGTATCTTAATCACTGTAGCATAATGTGATGACTACTAACTGTGTTTTCCTGAAAGTAAGGTCTATCCCAAAAATAAGCGCTAGCTTTATTTTGGGGGATGGGCCTAATATAAGCTCTACCCCCAAAATAAGCCCTAGTTTGGGGGTGAGGCACACACCTAAAAATCAAGGTAGGGCAGGGTAGGGGTGTAGAGCTGCTCCATGCACCCTGCACCATTTACCTTGTACCAGGCCTTTCCTCACTGGCCCACTTCTTTGCAACTTCTTCTGCAGCCAGCCTGCATTTCTCAGTCACAGGCCTTTCCAGAAGGCCATTGCAGCTGAGAACTAAGGTATGGATTCAATCCATAGCTCAGTACTCAGCTGCAGTGGCCTTCAAGAAAGGCCTGACTGCGAAATGTAGACCGGAATGCAGCTGCAGAATGAAGCTGCTTCTTCGGCCAGAAGTGGACCGGCTGGGTGGGGCTGTCGGTGTCAGAGGTAAGTATAAAAGACACCCCCTGAAAATAAGACTTGGTGCCTCTTTTGGAGGCATAAAAATAAGACCCTGTCTTATTTTCGGGGAAACACGGTAGAAGTAACCTCCACTGCATTGTTTCAAAATGGTGGGAATACACATTATCAAACCTTTATTATGTTTATGTAAATTTTCACAAGATTGTCTGCTAAGCGACAGGTAATCTCTTTTCTTCTACCAACAAACACTTGATTATGCCACCAAAGCTGTCTAGTTGGCTGCTTATCCCTCAGATTTGACTGGGAGCAATTAGGAACGACCCAATGCAACCCTAGGATGATCTCCATGAAGAGAGATATTCCAGGTAGGAGCGATCAGAGGGTTGAGTTTTTCATCTTTTCTTCTCAGCTGTTTATTTAAGCATGCCTTATTTTTAAGTGCACCTTTTAAACTTTTTTTTTTTTTACTTTTGATCTATATTAGTTTAATTGACTGGACGAATGGTGACCAATTGTATAAGTTTCTGAAAAAAAAATCACTTTCTCCCAATCCTACGAACCACTTCTGAAGAACCTCAACAAGAAAACTGCCTCCAAGAATTGGACCAATTAAAAAGAAGAAAAAACAAATTTATGTTAACCATTATTTTTTAAACAGAATGCAAATATAATTTAAATATGCTTCTGTAAACAATTTAAATACAGACTTAATTTACAAAAATTATTCCAAGATACAAAAAGAAAACAACTATGTGCATGGTAGTATTAATTTAAACAAAGCTTTTTCTGAATTAAAGACTCAATTTGATTATTGATAATTTAGAGGAAAACTAGATGTCTGTTAAATCATTTTAAATGATTTAAATGAGGTAAGATTAATCTTCCATGGAAGTAGATATTTCAAATTTAATAGATTATATGCAGCATATTTAAAATATCATAGGCATGACAAAATATTTAATTGAAAGAACTAGCATGAGAAGATTTATTTTAAACAGATAAATGAAATAAAAAATAATAATTACAGTAGCTTTAAATATTAATTAGACCAGTGGTAGCGAACTTATGGCATGCGTGCCAGAGGCAGCACTCAGAGCCCTCTCTGTGGGCACGTGCGCTGTTGCCCCAGCCCCGCCTCCCCCCGCAGCCCCCTCTTCACCAGTAGCCCCCCCGGAGAGTCACCCCCAGGCGCAGCCTGCGCGGAGCAGCACAGCCAAGGGCATGGCAGCTGGGCAGTGGGGAAAAGACTCCACCCTCGTGCCCTGTTGCGCACAGATGATGCTGCAGGACACAGTTTGAGGGTGTAGTAGCCATGGTGCTGCTGGGCCACCTGAGTGATCTGCGATGGGCTGTGGAGGTGGGTGGCCCTGCGGGCAGGCGGAGCAGAATGGTTTTTGGGCACTTGGTCTCTAAAGATTTGCCATCACTGAATTAGACCATAGGTCATACTAAACTGCAAATTGTTTTTATAATAATAAAAATTGATGTAAAGTTTTAGTGGCTTTGAATAACTTTTATAATTCCAAAGGTGAATATTCTCTTATGTGCTGGTGAAAATACAGCTCACATCAGTAGTTTTACAATGTACAGTGCTTTCTATCGTAAGTACAGAAGTAGTGTTATCAAATATTTTTCAGAAATTCTATAATCTAGTCTTTAAAACAAATCATAACATGGGATTAGTAATCATGAGAGCATGTTTTATATTATTTTTTTTAATCAGTAATTTTTAAACAGTAAAGTTTTTATCAGTAAAGATAGCTAATAGTTACAGATTATTTGTCTTATGTCTACTCAGGAGTATAGAGTTTTAAGTTTATTTATTTTTATTTTATTTATCCAATTTTAATATCACTGATTCCAGATTGACTCTGAGTGGCTTCAGTATATGAACAGCTGCTAAAAAGACAAAATAAAACTATACTATAAACAAGATGGTTAATCTGGCCAACAATAGAGAAAGGCTTATTACATAACCAGCAAAGGGTTTCAATTGCCCTAACCTGACAGGTCTTTAATGTCCTCCAGAATGCCATCAGGATGGGAGTCCCACAGATTTCAGGGGCATGTTCATTCGTAAGGGAGGGTGCCAAGAATTTCACATAATGTAAAGTTAACAAAATTTTATAGAATTTTACATTAACAGAACATAACAAAACTTCATAAAATAGTAATCCAGGAGTAATATATATTGCAGCCTACAGTACTTTGCAGGTAGTATTAAAAATGATCACATACCTCAAAAAAGTTGGCTCAGGCATTCCAGGATCTGCGCCTCTCTTAAAACCTATTTACAATAAAAAAAAAATCCTGTGAATTTTATGAAAATATTATTGGACTTCTTTACATAATATAAATACTACATGTAATATATTGAATGCATTAACATCTTGTACTTTTCCCACCTTCTGTAGATTAGATTCAGTTATTGTATTTAGCAAGTGATGGTTCAATACTATGAATTACAAATGCTACATGGAATCAGTCAACTGAAAAAAATAAAATAAAATCCAAATCACAAAACATAACTTGTAATCTTTAACAGATTGGTTCATGTGACTCTCAGAGAAAATTAAATGCAAATATTATGGCTTACTGTGTTGTATGAATCCTCCTATTATATGCTTAACAATACATATCTATCTGGGAAGGAAGAAATTAAAAGACCTGATTCTAGTTGGTCTATTTCTTGGCATTGTATCTATAACCACCAACAGATTCTATATTTGCTAATATGATTTTATTTGCTGCTTAGCAGAAGCAGAAAAGAGCTGTCTTAAATACTAGCAAGTTATTCACTTAGTGAGACTACAAAGAACAGATGTACTGCCAACAAAATAAAAATATTTTATTTATTAAATTTATTTGCTTTAATCTCCTATTTGAAAAGTTTGAATATTCTAGTAATGTGCTAATACAGATTATCTTTTTCTCAAGCCAGAATTAAAATAGTTTTTCATGAACAATTAACAAAAAAAGGTTATATGAAAATTTAGGAAAATGGAAGGAATATTTTAGATAAAAATTCATCTAAATATAATTCTGTATCCAGATTCAATAATATAGTACCTTTAAAGTATATTGTAAAACTGCTACTCAGAATATACCTATTGTTTAAATATGAATTATAAATTTATTATACTGTATAAATGTACAAATAAGTTAACTATGCAATAATTCATTCATTGTATTTTTTTGTTTTAATCTTCTCTCCCTCCTGATTCCCACTTTTCTCACAGAAGCAGATATAAGCTTAATTTACGTATAAAGTACTAAATATAGATGATTTCAGTTTTCCTATTAAAAATGGAATGTTTATTTATTACAGCAAAAAGACTATAGGATATGTCATATTAGAAAATCTTACCACAATCCTCATTAAATCAATACTTGCAGTGCTTCCACAGTCATTTACAGGCATGTTCAGACTGGTAAAAAAAAATCTGATTCACCCAGTGGGAATGTTTCCAGCTAAGGTCAAACTAGGAAATGCTCTACCTTCTTGTCTCAGCATTCATAGTAATAGTCTCAGTCCTATATTTGTCCCAATTTTCACTCCATTATTTATTTCACAGAACATAACTACCACACATAACAAGAATGGACTATAGCTAGAACTGGAAGCAATATTAAGTTAGAATAGCAGTGCTCTGTAACCATTTACTGACCATCTTGCACAAATAAGCTTTGATTTTTCAATATCTGTTACATTAGGTGAATCAGCGAATGGGGACACAAACTGACAGTACAATTCCATTATAGTATATTCTACATCAAGGGTAGGCAACCTTGGCTCTTTTATGACTCGTGGACTTCAACTCCCAGAATTCCTGAGCCAGCCATGCTGAGGAGAAAGGGAGAGGTTTCAATGCTGAGCCATGCCAGATCAGAAATTCTGGGAGTTGAAGTCCACAAGTCATAAAAGAGCCAAGGTTGCCTACCCCTGTTCTATATGCATAGTTATGCTTCATTTAAGGCAATAGCACAAAAAAATCAACTCTTTTGATTGTCTTATCATCATTCATATATCTTTCATCTTTCACTCCTCTCTCACTCATATTTTGCAAGTATTTCATTCAGATATTTTGTTTGGCTGGATTTGTTCATACTGCAGTTTATTGGATGTTCTATTGATTTCACAAAACTACATTACAGTATAGCTTAGCATATTATGTGAACCCAGTCACAGCTTTTGAAAAAATATTCCAACAAACCATAGAAATTAGGACCTAAAGTGAGATCCAAAAGAGGCCATTCTATCTTTCAATTATTTTTCCAGAAAGCAAGTTCAAACTCTGAATTTACTCTGTGTTTTACAAATATGCAAAAGTTTATTTGTATCATTTTTTTTTCTTGCAGAATATCTGCAAGACATACTTTAGTTTACCCATTAGTTGTCTATCATAATTGTATTCCATTCCACCAATGAGCAATTTCTTGAAAGATTGTGGGCAGAGCTGCATATGAAAAGAAGTATCTCCATGTGCCATCTTTCTCAACAGCCTTTGATCTTAAAACAAGATGAAAGACTTTATGTGGCATATATATGGACACATGGACATAAATCTTATGAATGACCGGTTTCATATTTCATTGCAATTTTGATCAATAGGCATTTCATACAGAGTAAAATAAATATGGGGACATTAATTCAAGTCAATCTAGAAGTATCCAGAGTTGGGAGAGATGTACAAAAAAGAAATCACCCTTTCTGCATCAACTTCAAATAAGTGTCTACTCCAAAAGTACCTATTCTGCAGTAATAAGGCCTTGGGATGGCACATCTGATTTAAGGGAGGATATTACCTCAAACTATTAATTCCTGGCAACAAAAAGTCAATACTTCAGAGATGTGCTGCAAATCCTTTCATTCTTTGATTTATTTTCTTTTTACAGGGAGACATCCTATAAAGTGTAAGCATCAGAACTGGTTTTTTTTTTTATTTCTTTGCTGGGCACTAATTCTGTTGATCATTTGGTTGGTTGTTTCCATTCTATTTCAAAAAGAGAATAAACAGAACCTGTTACCATTTAGTTCCTATTCTTTGATACCCCAAAGTTGATCTTCTCTTTTTAAAAAGCCTCTTTTAACGGATGCTGCCTAGAAGGAAACCGACTGGGTTACCGATCTTGCAAATTTAATTCGAAACGAGCAACAACAACCATTGGGGGAGGAAGGTTCCTTTTAATCTCAACTCCCCATTCCTTGTTGTGCAAGGAACGACCACAGAAGTCTCCGCGAAGGCAGGTAATGGAGGTCCTCGTCATTTTTGGCAGGCCGTCGCTTTAAGACCCGACTCTCCCCCTCCGCACTGACCTAAATAAAGTACCACAGGGATGAAGCCCCAACGGATGGCGAACTGGCCACCTTTGAAGAGGTGCTGCAATCGCTGCTTAGCTTCCTTGCTCAGCTTCGGCATGGCGGCGGCGGCGGCGGCAGCAACTCAAAAGCAGCCGAAGCGCGATGGCAGGGGTCAGAAAGGCTCACCTTAAGCGGCTGGCCCTAGGGCGCATGCGGGGCAGCCTTCGGGGCGGGGCTTTGCTTCCAGGCTGCTGCGGACTGAAGGCTGTCGGGAGGAAAAAGCATCATCGAGGCAGAGAAAACTGAAGAGTTTGGCCGACAAAAGTGAGGAAGAAAGGTCACGGTAGTATCGGTTGAAGTCATGAATCAGGAACGAACGTTACAATAGGTAAAAAGAGTCCTTTCCTGGTATATGCTCATTCTACGGGATTAGTGACGCTGCCTCTTAACAGTAACTGACAGTAAACAGTCGCGCGCTGCCATGGAGATCTGCCCCGCCCCCGAAACCTACACCGCATTATCAATCGTCAATCCACGTGATGGTCTAGCTGGGATTTCGCGTTTCCTCTCCACAGGAAGTGTCGTCAAACCTGATGTCACGCTCGATGAGTATGGATCCCGTTCCTGCTTTGTGCGTGATTTAACACGTGCAACTGACGTTTATGATAGCCTAAAAAACACATTTTTGAAAGTTGATCGGAACATTTCTAGGACATCCAATTTGGGTATTATTACTACTATCAGATTTTATTATTCCACCTTTTTATTATTATTATTAACAAAAATTCTAACCCACCTTTATTACTTTAAAAGTAATTCAAGGCAGCGAGCGTACTAGTACTCCTTTGTCCTGGTTTACCTACAACAACAATCTTGTGAGGTGGGTTGGACTGAGAGAGATTGACCCAGTCACCAAGCTGGCTTGCCTGACTTAGGGTTGTATTAGAAAAACAATGCCTGACTTAGCACTTGTATTGAAAAACAAAATCCCACAGACTTTAAAAAAAATCTATTTCTTTTTATTGAAAATTTTTAAATTTTACAAAACAAATCCCTTCCCCAGACCCCCCCCCATCCTCCCATACCCTCCCCCACCTCCCCAAACCTCCCATACCCTCCCCCAACCTTCCCAGAGTTGAGTACAGGCTTAATTAAATTTTTTCAAAAAAACTTAAAACACATATAAATCCCAAGCAAATCTAAATACATTAAATTAAATAGATTATCTTCTCTAAAAAATAATAATTACAATCAATAAACACGTTATAATATACTCTAAAAATTTTCTAATATCATACTTATATTATTATCCATCATTCTTTATAAACTCCCTCCAAAACACAAATTTAAACATTACTTTCTTTAAATATCTATACCTACAATATAAAATCTAATCTCTCCCTCTTTCTTTATCCTAAAACACAAAAATAAACATATAAACATTCAATATACCATTAATACTAAATACTCTTTTGAATACTTAAACTAAGTACTTAAACTTAAACTTCTTATCTAAAATTTTCATTCAATCTCCATAATCTTCTCTCCTATTTAAAAAAAAAAACTTAATATATAATTCCTAAACAAATCTAAATACATTTAATTAAACAAGTTAACTTCTCTTAAAAATAATAATAATAATAAAAAAACTCAGTCATAAAACACATTATAATATACTCTGAACCTTTTCATATCATACTTATATTATTATCCATCATTCTTTATAAACTCCCTCCAAAACACAAATTTAAACATTACTTAAAACATTGAAATTCCCTTATACATTTTCTCCCGCAAACTCAGTACTCTTTTGAGTACTTAAACTAAGTGCTTAAACTTAAACTTCTTATCTAGAATTTTCATTCGATCTCCATAATCTTCTCTTCAATAACCAATTCCATCCACAGTAAACACATTCCTTATCAGTCTCTCTTATCCATAAACCTCAAAAGAAGTGCTTTAAAATCTGCCCTTAAAGGTAGTTCCAAAACGTTTGTAAATCCTGCTTCTCCCACAGCAGGAACCAATACTTGTGGGGCTTCCTTAATCTCCTTCTTCTGTTGCTCTTTTTCTTTACGTTTATATGTTGCACGAGTTGTCCTCTGCTCCTTCATCTCAACTTGTTGAGGCCCCTCAAACTGAGATCCATTTTCTATTAATATAGGCTCTTCAGACTGCAATTCTACCCTTAAAGGTTGCTCCAAAAAGTTTATAACTCCTGCTTCTCCCACAGATTCAGAAACCAATACTTGTGAGGCTTCCTTGACCTTCTTCTGTTGCTCCTTTTCTTTACAGTTATATGTTGCACAAGTTATCCTCTGCTCCTCCATCTCAATTTATTGAGGCCTCTCAAACTGAGATTTCCCAATTTTCATAAGTATAAACTCTTCCGACTGCAATTCTACCTTCTTTTCTTCCAAAGCTTTAAACATAATAGATGGCGATGAACATACTCCCAGGACCGAAGTATAAAAGTCTTTTGCTTTAGAAACAGTATTAAGTCTATAACGTATCCCCAGGTAACTCACCACCATTCCAGTCGGAACATCCCATCTGAACAAGATTCGTCTCTTTTTAAGTTCATCTGCTAAAAAAGCAAACTCCTTTCTTCTTCTTAAAATTTTAGATGGGATCTCCTTTAAAATTATAACATCTTGTGAAACAATTTGAAACCTCCTCTTATAAAAAGCTTGTATAATTTCATTGCGCAGGGATCTTTTCCCAAAGTAAATTACCACATCTCTTGGCAAATTCTTCTGCTCTGCCACCACAGAGTTAACTCTAAATGTTTTTTCAATTTCACTAAGTATTTCCTCTTTTTCTCTATTCAAAATCACAGCAAAGTCCTTTGCAGCCATCTCTCTCAAATCTCCTTGCACAGACTCTCTCAAGCCTCTGATTCTTAAAGCATATTCCATTTGTCTATATTGAAGCATAAGAATCTCATCTTGAAAATTTTCCATCTCTTTTTCCATGCTTTCAAATTTTCCCTCCATCAATTCAACTTTTTCTACTACCTCTTCTACGCGAGAATTCAGCTTTTCAAGAACAGAGGCAACTCCTTTTAAAACCAAAACTATCTCTTGCCTCAAAGTCTTATTATTTTCCTCTAAAATCTCTTTCATTTCTCCCCTAATTTGAGATATAACATTTCCCATCATATCTTGCAAATCCTTCACCATTGTTGACTGTGCCAAGGAAGAGGGTAAAGCTATTGATTTAGGTTGTTGCGCTGATGATAACACCGAAGAAGAAACCACCTTAGGAGCTGTAGGAATTACTGGACGCTTTGGAGCCATCTTAAAAAAATCTTTACTCCTTAAAAATTACAAAAATTAAGCAAAAGAAAAAGAGAGATTAACTCCAAAAAAATCCTTCAAAAGGAGATCATTATAATAAAAAGAAAGGGGTTAAAAAAAAAGAAAAAGGAAAGAAGAAAAAATGATTAAATAGAAAAAACATTCCATTTTTTTAAAAGTACAAAAAACAAAACAAAGAAGTTAAGCAAAAATAATAATGCTTCTAAAATCCAAACCCAACATCAAAAAATCATTATAAATAATCAGATCCACATTCCGTTCCAATCATTAAAAAAAAGGGGGGGAAAGGGGAAAAAAAACACTAAAAAGCCTGCCGATCGCCATTCTACCTTCCCAAAGGAAAAAAAAAATACCAAAAAGCCTGCCGATTGCCATTTTACTTTCCCTTTCAACAAAAAATAAAAAATAAAAAGAGGGAATATAAAAGTAAAAGTAAGTCTTTAAACTTAAAATATAAATAAAATCAAAGAAAGCAAAAACTAAATCCTCTAGTCAACTCTGTCCGCTTCTAAAAAAACCTCACCAGATCACTTTAATCGCGGAGGTGGTTGCAGCGGCTTGTTTTGTCCCTAGGGACAAAAGCAGCTGGGAAGCGGAGACAGTCTGAACTCCGTGGGAGCACTCTTTTCACCCCCAAAAATAAAAACTTGGGGGTGCATAAGAGGCTCTACCACTATTCAGACAACCCTCTTCCCCCCCCCTTTGCCCGGGAGGGGGTTTTTGAACCACTGAACAGCTGATGTCCGCTGTTCATAGCGATTCAAACACCCAGGAGGACGGCTACAAAGTAGCCGCCATCACACGCGCAGATCCACCGGAAGTAAAAAAAAAATCTATTTCTTAAGTCTTCCTTAAGAAAAAAGAATTAGACAAAAGGAATTATTATAATTTTGTTAGATGTTCCTAAACTATTAATATTATATACACACATTGTGAAATCTCAGTTGTCACTTCTTTAACTGATATTGGTCTTCATACAAATCTCATACAGAGTTCTTCCCAAGAACCTTGGATATCCTAATGCAGGGGTATCAAATTCAATTTCATTGAGGGTTGCATCAGCATTTTGGTGCCCTCAGAGGGGCCAGGGAGCATGACCCATTGGGTGGGCATGGCTGCAGTGGTCACAGCTGACTGGGTGGGCTGGGAATGACCACTTCTATGTTGCTTGGGGGGATGCCTATGGGGGCCGGGCAGGGTTGTGGGAGATCCAGGGGATCTGTGGCAGATGGGGCAGTGGGCAGGAGGCTGCCCTGTGGGTGAGGAGAGGCAGGGGGTAGGATGGGGTGCCATTCCTGTGGGGCAAGGCATAGTGAGGCAGGGGCCAGGGCAGCTGCTGCCTGACACCATCAACCCCCGCACATAGAGGCCAGCGAGTACATGGGGCCAATGGTGTCCATCAGCAGCCACAGCCTTCTGGCCCCTTGACTGGCACACTCTGGGGCTCTGCAGCCCGCTGCAAATACCGGCCAGCCCTCCAGCAGCAGGGGGAGGGGAGTGGGAAGGCATGTGATGCAGATTGCCAGACGTGCCTATCCATCCCATCTGTTTTTGCTTGCAGTTGGAGAGCAGATCATTGCTGGTCATCTGCTTGGCCCCTTTGCAGATTTTGCCCTTGGCCTGAGTGTGGAGTCTGTTCCTCTTGTGCACCTGATGCACCTTGGTCCCGCCTCAGGCCGCATCTACCAGCAGCTCACGCAGGTCCATTAGGCTGCCACCACCACCCAGAGTGGCAGGCCTGCCCAGCACAAAGGCGTAGCAGCCGGTTAGGAAGCTCAAGTAGAGGTGGTAGAGCACGCCAAGCAAGAAAAAGGCCATCCCAAGTGGGAAAGCTGGATCCCCATCAGTGCCATGGCCGCCCAGTCCCAGCCAGGATTGCGTGCCTCCCCCCATCTCTGCTGGGTCTGGGCAGCCATGGTGCCGATGTGGATCCTACTTTCCCCGCTCGGGATAGCCTTTTGCCTACTGGCCCTGGGCATGCTCTACCACCTCTATTCGGGGCTTCCTGGCTGACTGCTTCCCTGCCTTTGTGCTGGGCAGACCTGCAGCTCTGGGCAGCGGCCTAATGGACCTGCATAAGCGTCTGGCGGCCATGGCTGCAGTGAGTACTAAGGTACACGAGGAGAATGTGCTCTACCCATGGGCCAAGGACAAGACCTGCGAGGGGGCTGAGGAGATGTTATCCAACTGTACAGCCAGATACTTGTAGGCATCATCCTGATAGTTTCTGATGGTTTGGCCATTTGGCATTTCAATTCCATTACTGTATATTCCTGCAGCAACATATTTCTCTAAAGCCAATCCATTGCTATATCTATGCTAAAAATTATTACCGTGTTTTTCCATGATTGGATTTCAATTTCAATTTTCCATTATTATGGTTCATTGCACAATCAGCCGTATGTTTAGGGTTAGGGTTACGATTTGGCATTTTTATCCACCTATGAAATCCTTCTCAAGAAGCTGGGATAAGGCATGTTGTTGTTTAATGGTGCGTATTATTTTCACACAATCAACCAGATGTTCAGAATGGGTTTGGCATTTTTGAGTTCTTACTTCCCAAGGACCTGGGAGAGGCAGATGTGGATGTTTGATATTGTTAGAAATAACATAGCAGTTTATAAACTGTTGTGAGTAAAGCTGCCTTTGGCAATTAACTGATAGTGAATTTATCAACGTCAGTGGTAGTCAACAAGATTGCACCCAAAGCACTTATGACTATTGGTATTACCTGTTTTCTTTTGCCATAGTCATCCTATTTCTATTTGCTGATCTTTGTATTCTATTACTTTCTCCAATTCCTTTTCTTCTATTCTGCTGTCTCCAGGTACTGCCACATCCACTATCCAAACTTTTTTGTCTTTCTTATCAAAATTGTTAAGTCTGGAGTGTTATATGGCAGTGCCTGTCTGTTTAAATTTTAAAGTCCCAGAGTCCTTTAACATTATATTATCATTCTGCCTTTTTATGTCCAATTCAAAGTGGCAAAGAGGCCTAATATTTCTGCTTCCTTTTTCCCCACGACAAGAACTCTCTGAGGTGGGTTGGGCTGAGAGAGATTGACTGACCCAAAGTGATCCAGCTGGCTTTCATTCCTAAGGGATGCCTGAACTTACGGTGTTGTGGTTTCTAGGCCAACACCCAGTGGTGGGATTCACCCAGTGCTTCGCACCACTTTGGCAGAACTGGTAGCTAATTTTTTGTTGCCCAGGCCCTGAATGGACTTCCGGAAGCGGCATCCAAACAGAGAACCAGTTATTCATATATTTGAATCCCGCCACTGCCAACACTTTAACCACTACACCAAAGTTTTTGAAAATCTAAATAGGCACAAATAAAAATAGTTTTAGTTGTAAAGTAACAGTAAGCTAAAATTTAACTTAGCAGCAGGGGAAAGCCCATAGTTCCAACCATATTAGATCATGTGAGAAAATAATTAGTTATGTCTACATATTTGGCACTTAATTATAGTGGCAGGAAGTTATCATTTAGGATTTATATTGCATCTTTTTTGTCTTTTTACTATTTATTCCTTGTGATTTGAATTCTTGAAGTGATTCACAGCTGGTGCAGAAAGAATGGCCTTTATAATAATAATAATAATAATAATAGTAAAGTTGGAAGGGACCTTGGAGGTCATCTAGTCCAACCCCCTGCTCGGGCAGGAAACCCTACACCATTTCGGACAAATGGCTGTCCAGTCTCTTCTTAAAAACTTCCAGTGTTGGAGCATTCACTGCTTCTGGAGGCAGGCTGTTCCACTGGTTAATTGTTCTCACTGTCAGGAAGTTTCTCCTTAGTTCTAGGTGGCTTCTCTCCTTGATTAGTTTCCACCCGTTGCTTCTTGTCCTGCCTTCAGGTGCTTTGGAAAATAGCTTAATTACCTCTTCTTTATGGCAGCCCCTGAGATATTGGAATACTGCTATCATGTCCCCCCTTGTCCTTCTCTTCGTTAAACTAGACATACCCAATTCTAGCAACCGTTCCTTATATGTTTAGCCTCCAGTCCCCTAATCATCTTTGTTGCTCTTCTCTGTACTCTTTCTAGAGTCTCAACATCTTTTTTACATCGTGGTGACCAAAACTGGATGCAGTATTCCAAGTGTGGCCTTACCAAGGCATTGTAGAGTGGTATTAATACTTCACGTGATCTTGATTCTATCCCTCTGTTAATGCAGCCTAGCACTGTGTTGGCCTTTTGGCAGCTGCAGCACACTGCTGGCTCATATTTAGGTGATTGTCTACTAAGACTCCGAGGTCCCTCTCACAGTTACTACTATTGAGCATGGTGCCACCTATGCTGTACTTGTGCATTTGGTTTTCTTGCCTAAATGTAGAACCTTGCTTTTTTCACCATTGAATTTCATTTTGTTAGTTAGTGCCCAGTGTTCAAGTCTGTCCAGATCCTTCTGTACCTGAAGCCTTTTTTTTGGTTACTTCCTAGTACTTTTCTAACAGAAATTAATAAATATATGGATGCATTAGCAAGCTATATGGTTGCCTTCTGGATGTAAAAACTGGATTCTCAAAGAGTAATATAGAAAAAGTATTGATGCTTTTAAATTTTTGAGTTGGAGAAAACGTTTGAGATATAGATAGGCAGAAAAATAAACAAATGGATCGTAAAACAAATTAAATTTCTCACTCAAGGCCTAACTGTTCAGACTCAAATTATAATACATAATGTGAGACGTGATGTGCTCATTATGCAAAGTCTCCAGTCCACAAGGGAAGACTTTGGAAGGAAAGAAAAGACGATGACAAGCAGCAGCAAGCTAGATGAACTCAAATACAGAGGCAACTGTTGACATGCCAGAAGGGTGCAATTGGAAGCAAATAATCCTTGAAAACACTGACTTGACAGTATTTAATCAAATCAAATTGCACTTCAATCATAATCTGAGTATCAAATACAGAAACACACAAACTTAAAAAATATACAGAGACTGTAACACTATTCTATTTTTTCTTGTGTAGGTTTTGCTCAGTTAAAAGAGGAGATAGTAGGAGAAGCATAGAATGATGATGTACAGCTGTCTAGTAGTTTCTCGTCTATTTCTTTCCCAACAAGGATGGCTTGATAAACTTTTCACTTTCTTCCAAGGAATAGGAAATCACAGATAAATTTGGGTGCATAATTATAAATTAATTAATAATTATCTTCTATGTTGAAAGTGTACTTAAAGATGTAGCCTAGGAAATAGGGTAACAATCAAGAACTGCAGTATGAGGCTTGCGTAACTTGCTATTTATTTTGAGACAATGACTTGGTGCCCATTCCACTGAATACCAATTAAACACAAGATTGGAAGAGTGATTCACATTTGAACAACTGTGTTTAAATTAACGAATATCTTAAAAGATTGAAGGATCCATAAAACATATAAATGCTCTACATGCACAGACGGAATATTTTGCCTTGCTATTAATGCATGCTGTATAATTCACTTCTAGAGTTTGATTAATTTGGAAGCTTTTCAGACAGCCTCCCACATGACAGCTGTAGCACAAGAAAAAGGTCTAACCTACAAAGAACAAGCAAACTACCGAAAAGATTGCCTTGCTGGAAGGATAGCATTTAACTACAGCAGAAAGGTATTATTTACAGCACAATAGTCCTGGTGTGCACAGTTTCAACACATTCTAACGTGAATGGTTAGCAGCATAAATTGCATGCTAATTTGAAAACAGAAGAGAGGAAGGGAAAAAAGAAAGGAGGAAAGACTAGTATTAATCTGGCTTGTTCCATGATAATGTATATGTACAAATGTCAAGTTGTTTACTGTCTGATAGTCATAGCTTAATTTTTGGCATTTGCTAAAAGCAGGGTATGCTTCACGATGATTAGTTTACTATTTTGGGCTACTTGCATAACTTCCATTTGAAAGAAATCGTGTAAAATCTCCCCTGGAGATTAGAGGGCAAGTAAGTTTGGGTAAAAGTGCATAAAGAAATACAATTCATAGTGACTCTGATACAGTTTTATTATAATAATAAAATAGTAATTGTTTCTTGAAATCAATTCTTGCACAAAAATCTGAAATTTTGTTAAGAAAAGATCAGTTTAAGAAATTGAATTCCTAAGAATCATAAACTTGCTATCATGCATTAAGATTTCTTGTAAAATGTTGACCTTCAATTTTGTTTGTTTTATTTTCTTGTAGATTCTGTAATGAAAATAAAAGATTTATGACATAATGTATCACTTCAAACAAAGGTATATTACATAAATATTTATATTTGAAATATATTCAGTATTTTTATTCTATATTACTATAAATGGAATATCTGGCCAAAGATGAAACTAGTAAACTGAAAGAACTATTTTTGTAGAATAGTGTGCACCATATATGATGGCTTAAAGGATTTTCTGAGGCCAGAATTTTAGCTGAAGTACATATATATTTATTGTAAATGTACTTATTCGTTAGCAATTTGCTTTCTAGAAACTTCAGTTGCATAGCTTTGGTAAAAATTAAAAAACATGCTAATATGTTATATACAGTTTATTTAGTACGTTTGAAAAATATTATGTTTTAAGAATAGTTATTCTGTTAAAAGTGTTATTAACAATTATTGAAAATCAATACACATAGTGTTCACTTAATGATTTTAGTTGGGACTACTATGTCTACTACTCAGCAAAGTGGTCATTAGGCAAAATATCATATGATGGTATCACTTAGCAACAGCAGTTCTAGTGATCCTGGTTGCATTGTTACGTGAGGATTATACCATCATTAGGCTGCAGCCATTGGATTGTAGGTTAAAGATGGGAAAGTTTACTTCTTCAAATTTATAGTCTTGACATATAATTCTACCTTTAAAAAAGCTATATAGATTGTCAAGAAAAAAAATGGCCTTGTTCAGTGAGCATTGCTAACAATATCATTTTTTGCTGGCTTGCTGAAGAGTAAGTTGTTGTCCCTGATTCAGAATAAATTGCCTGGCCCAGAATTTATAGGATATCTACAAGCAAACCTTTACTATTGACTATACAATCTAAAAATGCATGCCATTAAAAATCAAGTTTTTTATTTTTTTAATGCCATATTTTTCAAAGAAGGAAATAATGTGGACTTGTATGATATGGCTCTTAAATTAAAGAAAATTTAATTTGTTTCAGAATTTTGAATATGGTTTCATAGGCAGTAAGATAAATAGATTAATACTTTATGGATACAGAAACAATTGTTTCCTTTAATTTAAAGCAATAATTAGTTTTATGCAGTATACAGTATTAATTTATCCTGAATGTCAAAGCTTATTTAGAATGTTTCATTTGTGCAAAATTCATTCATTGCTTGTAATAAAATAAAATAAAGTCCAAAAAACTTGACAGCCTGAATATTGTTCCTAAATAGAAGTATGTCACAGTAGAATGATCTAATAATTGTTTCTAAAATATTGTCAGAATGTCTAAATAAAACATTTTATTTTTTGTAAAGCAATTTGCATTAATGCCCGGAGAGCATAACTGACGCTCTCATGTAACTGAACAAGCTTCAGCAAATAGAATAGATTCAGCCAGAGATTCATAGATTAAGACTAAGGAATCTGGATTACCAAAATCCCGACAGCAGTAATAGTTACCAAAACCTGAATGTAGTTATCCAGATTTTTGTTATCTTATTGGTTTAATGTGAGCTGCTAAAGTCATCTCTGATTTTTCATGTGTAGACAGATACATAATTTATTTTTTTAAAAATCCCATGATATTTAGAAGAATACAGGTAATCCTTGACTATCAATTGGTCATTTGATCATTCAGTTACATTCAGATCTGGGAAAGGGTGTTTTACAGCACATAAATCACTTCCAGCTGTCATAAAATGTAAATTCTTGAAGGATTTGTCCTCTGTGCCCAGAGGGGAGGGGGAAACTTTTTATAGGGCTGCAGGATTTCTGTTCCCACAGCTTGCTAAATAATTTCCTCTCCCCTCCATGCATCCACCTTGAAGAAAAGTGGGAGTCAGTGCAACTCACACAACAGAAGTATAACATGGGCAAACCAGTGAAGATCCAATACTGCTTTATTCTGGATAACTTGTAACTTTCGAGTGGTCTTTAAGCCCCTTGTAAAGTGCATTGGAGTAATCAAAATTGACTAAATGACTAAAGTGTGACTGCTCATTGAACAGGAACTGAGAATCCAGAAGAACTGCCAGTTTGGTCCTCAAGAGAACAACCCTGCCAGAGTCAAAGATGACAAAATCACCAGAACCTGGAGGTCAAAACCTCAGAGCCACTCCATCTTGCCAGAGTTGATCCAAAGTTAGTTCATTTCTATCCAGACCCTTTATCGCTTCCAGGCACTTGGATAGACTGCAGTAGTGTATCATCAGGGTACTGATCGTATCATCAGGGTACTGATCATATCACACCCTGTACTGTTGGATAACCTCACACAGCAATTGTATATATTAGAGGAGAGATTAAAATCCTGAGGAACCCAACGTTCCAGGAACATAGGGTTCAATCCCTCCTTGCCCATCAATACCAACTGGAAGCAGTCACAGAGAAAGGAGAACCACAACAAAAATGATGCCTCCCACTTCCAACCTCTGGAGTCAGTTCAGAAGGATACTAAGATTGATAGTATCGAAAGCTGCTAAAAAATCAAGGATAGAAGATAGCCAGCCCAACTGCATTACCCTATTTTGAGACCTCCTACTGAGTAAATGTCAGAAAAATCCTATCAGAACAGCTGAACTTTATATGGCTTGGTTAGTTACTAATTGAAGGGAGTGTGTATTAACTATTACTAAACATCAGTTTGAATGTGATTAGTTAAATTCTGAACAGTCACATCTCTGTTTATAAGGGGATGTGTACACGTATGGAACCATGTTATTGTAAGCTTATTTTTATTTTTTTCCTCTGGAAGATTTCAGTTGGTTTTTCAGTTGAATTGTATAACTTATGTATTGTATGAAAGAAGGAAAAAGTGATTTATCTTGGTTTGGTTTTTACATCTCAAACCCTTGGCATTTTAATAGGTGTGTAGACTTTTTATATTCACTGCAGTTGAGAATTTTGAATGTTCATCAGTTACTATTAACTAGTTATTTGGAAATCTTGCTACATAGGAATGCAAACAGTTTTAACATCTCCTAACTGTAATACTGTATACACCAAACATGTTTAGAATGTAATGTTGGTCAGCTTATCGCCTTAATAGAATTATAATTCTGTATATCACTAAGCAAATTTTTGGAGGACCACTGGAGGGCAGACTTGAATTAAACTCTGATTATAAAGAGTTCCATAAATTCATAATTGCAAAAAAAAATTCAAGGTGTGTTTATGTGTCTGTGTTCCAATAGTATACTATAAACCCATGATAAAGTCAATAAAAATTACAAAAATGCAAGTTATTATATGTATAAACTTGAATGGGGAGGATAATTTTATTATTTCTCAAGATTTTATCAAAGGAGTATGCAACATATATTAATATAAGCAATATATTAATATTTTAAACTTCTGGGAAAAAACAGTTCAGATAAAAGCAGGTTCTTTCATTTTCTTCATTTCCTTTTGTATTAAATGCATCCAGTAAATTAACATAATAGCTCAATTTTTTTTTTTGACCTTTCTGGTGCGTAATGAATAATTACTGGATTCTGTGTTTATTATATATTGATGGATAAAAAACATTTAGACCCAACTATTTAAAAGATCACCTTCCCCAATACAGGTAGTCTTCAACTTATAACCATTAGTGGCTGTTAAATTACAAGAGCACTGAAAAAAATAACTTATGACTGCTGAAGAATTCCCATTGCCATGTGATCAAAATTTGGATCTTGGCAGTTATAACAATTGCAGTATCCCAGGGTCATGTGATCACCTTTTGTGACCTTCTGATAAACAAAGTTAACGGGGAAGCCAGATTCCCTTATCACCCATGTTACTAACTTAACAACTGTAGTAATTCACTTCGCAACTGTCACAAGAAAGATCATAAAATGGGGCAAAACCTACTTAACTGTCTTGCTTAGCAACAGAAATTTGGGGCTCAATTGTGGTCAGAAGTTAAGGACTACTTATACACGTGATTCAGCCAAGCAAAAGTAGCCTTATTTATGTCTTACTGGTATAGTTAGCTCAATGCGTTAGCTAAGAATAGGACTTTATCAGTGGCAGAGTCCCAGTTACGAATTGTTTTTCTTAAGAGATATTCAATCTACCTCATGCAATCACTTACAGAGGGGAGCTGATGACGTGCCTATTTAACCAGGAATTTATGGAGTAATTATTTCAATTTGCCTATTTCTTTTTTCTTTTTCTTTAATTAGCTTTTGTTTTGATTTTTTGTATTTAATATTTAAAAATAGGGTTGGTTTATTATTGGTTATAGTCCAGTTTTTACTTTGTAGTTATTACTTTGTTCTGGCACCTTAAGAGGGATAGGAATAAAATAATAAATTGTAAGCTATGGATAAAATAAACAAACAAAAATAGAAGACTGGTTTTTATTGGGATTGTGACTAAGTGGGTTAGTCTATCACCACTTGCAATTCCAATACTGCTCAAATCCAATGTGACAGATACTTACATCATCATCATCATCATCAATGTAAACTATTTCATAACTGAAAACAATATTTGCAAACTAAGTAAATCAATGTTAAATGTTATCATGGAAATACAAACTTAAACTGAACAGTTCATTTATTAAAATACAGAAAACGCTTTGTAATTAAAACAGGATATAGTCACGAGTATATAGTGTAAAAGTGGGTAGCACATATTATTATTTTCTACTATTAATAGTTTATTAAATGGTATTCGTCCTTGTAAATGGCAAATTATTGAAAAATTCACAGAACTAATTTATATATTTAATAAATAGAAATGGATCTTTACAAAAGTCTACAGTTACTGTACCACAGAAAAGTTTACTTCATTATCAGTTTGAAATATGAAAACCAAGAATGTCAATCACAAAAAATTATTCATATTGCACTCAATCAAATATGAATACTTCAGTAATATTCTGCTAAAATATTGTGCTTTTTCAAAGTTATGGGAAACATTTTTATTAGTATCAATATACTGTGCATTTTGTATATATTAAGATTATTTCATATTTTCTGGGTTTCTACTCTTTCATAATTTGAGTATGCATAAATATAATTAACTATGCATATGCGCCATACATTTATTTATATTACCATGTAGAATAGATAGCTGTCACATATCCTTGTTCAAAGACACTCAAGCAACTTAACTTTATAGATTTTTTATTCCATCATCTGTTGTAGCATTTGAGGAAATTCTAAATTATTTGAATGTATTAAAAAAACTGTTTTATACTAAAACAAAAATGTTTTCTAGAGTCCTAAAACTTTAGTACTATAAATACTTTAATTCCATCTTGTGGAATTTTAAATAATGAATTGTAAGATAAATTCAAATAGCTTTCATCAGTAATGGCTGTATATTCCTGCACAGAAACTAATTCTTCAAAATCAATGTTTAATACAATACTAGTAAACCATAAAATACGTACAAAATTGTAAGAATAAAGCCTATTAATACTGTTAGAATAAGCATCCCAGAAATTTCATAAAATTAAATTAAAGTTAGTTAGGTTTTGTCCATTTTAAATTTCAGATATTTCAGAAAACAGAAAGAGTTCCCAAAAATGTCAATTACAAAGAATTGCAAAAAAAAAACGCTCCTATTTATTAAAAAATTGGGTCTCTGGAAATTGAAGTCTCTATTTGAATACAAATAGAATTTCTAACTACATGATACAGTTAATATAAAAACAATCTATCAAGCTGCTTCTTGCTTAAAAACAAATATAAAATCTTTATTAGAAAGTGTTTTGGTTGAAAAGCAACACTGCAAAAAGCAGTGGGGGGGAGGAATAAAAATAAGCAGTGTTATTCTTGCATGAGGATTCAAAGATTCATGAATATGTAGAAAGCACTAGAATGTGATGCCAATGGTCATATACATTCTTTAATCCCTGTAAAGTTGTTATAAATTAATTAATTAGCTGAAATCAGAGGGGAAGGAGGGTGCAAATTTGGGAAAATTATCAATATGTCTGTGCAAAAATAAAAATGCCAGATTGTATTTTTAGAAGACAATAAAAATGCCAGATTGTATTTTTACAAGACAAAACTAAATCTTTTCCTTCCAAAATATTGTATCATCTGTTATCATAACAACTATTTCCTATACAGTGTAAAGCTTACGATTTAATGTGATGCAATTTTAAAACCAGTTTAATGAAAGTAAGGAGTAAACTCAAAAATATTTCTAATCCACAGTACTCTTCCACTTAAAAATGCTAAAGTATTTTAGATGAATATCTCTGTTCAGCTTGAGAAGAAAATAGATTCAGTATTGATTCCTGGGTTTGAGTTACAAACCCTAATGCCAGAAAATAAGTGTCACCCTAATTATCTTGAATTCACTGGCATTATAAAAGTAGCCCATTCCAAATGAAAAGAAGGTGAATAACTTTCTCCTCTTCCAACTGATATCTTTGTGCACTCGATTTTAGACCTATGCCAAGACCTACTGTATATTCTAAGCCCCAAACACTGTTTTACAATACCACTACTGCCTGTAAACATAAAATTATACAAACACTGAATTACACCCATTTTAGTGATGGTTTAAATGCAACAGCAAATGTATCTTGGCAGCTGGATCAATCAAATCAAGATAGGCCAGCACAAAGTATTAACAGTCTAGGACTGGGATGGTGGAAAGGTAAAAAAATATTATTTTCTTCATGGTATTAGAAAATAATAATGTATGTACATGCTGTATACTGTAAAATATTCATTGCTGTTATTGAAGGCAGAAAAAATTTGTGTATACTGGAATACCGTAGCTATTTTAAAAGTTGAAAATTTGAAAATAGTGGCTTGAACACACATTGTTCAGTATTGGCACAATAATGACACATTAATTTTTTATCGATAACAGATTGTGTACATAGATCTGAATATTGTTTTTCAAATATCAGTGGCTACTTAAACTATAACCTTTTTCAGTGTGCCTAAGAAAGAAGGTTCTTGCTTTTAAGAATGGAATTGGCAAGCCAATTCTAGGCCACATTTAATGACTGAAATAAAAGTTCAGCATCCAGAAACAGCACAATGATATTAAAGATTTCATATGATAGAGGAATATCACAGAATCATTTTCCAATACAACTTATCTACTGAGCAAATGAATTCCTAAATTTTCCCACATATTAAAATATCAATACTGTAAAGTATTTACTCAATGATCCATTCTATTCCATTTTAACATTTAATGATTGAAATAATTTAGGTTTTACTATTGTAAAACAAAAGTAACTTGAAGCCATTTAGTTGACTAAAAAAGAGCTTGAAAGATCCTAAAATATGGTATCATTGAATGACCTGTTTCTACTCAGCAACATTAGTTAGGTGATTATTGGTCTGTTGAGACAGTAATGCTGATAGTAGGTAGTCGCTGCTGATTAGACTGTTTGCTTGAAACCATAAGATCTATTCTTTCAGTTTCAAATATCAGATTCCCTTCTTGCAAACTGCACACTGAAAGCCTATTTGTTTCTGTGCCATTATGATTACTTGGGATCACACCACCACAGACTTGCTCAAAGGATTTACTAAAAAGAGTAGTGCTTGTTCTAGCCAAGCTATGACTCCCTGATTTTGGCAAGGACTGGCTGCTAGTTAGGGTCAGCCTTTTTAAAGAGAGAAGTTCTAGATTTTCACTGAGTGCCCGCTGACTTTGTTTGTGAGATAAATGTTCTTTGTAGGATTCAGCACTCATATCTTTTTCTTTTCCTCCAACTTTGTTTCCTCCAGGCCTTCGTTGACTCTTGCCCATTACTGTTTTATTACTGGTGATGCTGCTATTTTTTGATGAAATAGAATGACTTGTAGTAGAAGTAGCTCTAGAATAAAAGCCTTCATCAACTTCAGATACTTCTATTAATTCTTCTTCTGGAATTCCTAATTCATTACCTGCATGGAGACAGAATGATCTATATATTTCATTGGTTCTTGATAGATCTTTCTATTCAAGCACAAAACAAAAGATTTAAGAGCAGACAAGAAACTCATCTATTATATGAATGTAATTTATTATAATAAAATATAAAGAAACAAAAAGCATGCTTACAATCTCATTGTGTGGTGATTTTTTAAAGCACCTGTTATTCATGCAAGATTCAGGAGAGGTTAGATCTAGAACAGCTAGAAAGAGGAATAAACCCAGGTATAATCAAGGTATCTATGTACTACAGATAGCAAAATAATCATGGAAATAGATAATCAGAACAGCAGACCAGCCAATAGGGCATCACCTGCAGGTATTCACATTTTTAGCAAATCTAGTAGTGTTTTATATTGTAAGGGCTGAATGGTCACATTCTGTACAAAAAAATTAAAATTTTGGTGATGAAACTGGAAACCTAACACACTGGAGCATATAATGTAACAAATGAGAAAATATTAAAATAAATTGATATTGTTTATATACACTTGAAAGACAGGGTTATTTCAAATGTGTAAAATAAAAATGCTGGAATGACTCAGAACTGAAAAGTCCAAGTTACGTATTAATGCAATTTGAAATCTCTCAGTGTGGTTTCCCAAGCTAAAATAAATCTATTTGTTGTCAGCATGCTGTAATATGTGGAGCACAGAGATCAGCTCTATGTGCAGAGCATGCAGTTGTGTTTGTCTAAAAGTACATGCAAATGTCTATTACTGAATACTAAAATCCTCAAACATGCAACCATGACCCTTTCAATTGATACCTTTTGAATGTAGCTATAAAGTGCTCTGCTAAAATTGCATTCTGCCAGGTGAGCTTAATCCATCCTCCATAATTTTTCTTACAGATTTTTGCCTCCTGATCTCTGGCAAGCCTTTGCTGTCAACTCTAGGTTCTGTAGGAATTTCCTGTACACCCTGAATATGTTGATCACTGTCTCCTGGCATTCTGTTTTTTTCCCCATTCCTGGTTCTCTCTCCAGCCACATTTGTGACACTAATCTCGGGTATAACAAAGCTGCCCGACTCAGTAGTATCATTAGTATTATCTGGTTGCTCTAGAATTAAAGATGAATAAGACAAAAACAAAAAAAAGAAAGAAAAAAGATGGCTGAAACAAAAACCATGGAGCAAATAAAAAGACACGTATTGGACAGAAAACCTAATAGCCTGAAGGTTTCAAAGTCAGAGGTTTAATTTCCTGGCCTGTCATTAGTAAAACAAGCCGAGGTGGTGCAGCAGTTAGAGTGCAGTACTGCAGGCCACTTTAACTGACTGTGTTCAGCAGGTCAGCGGTTCAAATCTCACCGGCTCAAGATTGACTCAGCCTTCCATCCTTCCGAGGTAGGTAAAATGAGGACCCAGATTGTTGGGGGCAATGTAAATATTTATATACATTGCTTACTGGTGTACACCGCTTAGAGAGTGCTTGCACTTAAAGCGGTATATAAGTCTCATAAATAAATAAATAAATAAATAAATAAATAAATAAATAAATAAATAAAAGGAATTCTTACATTATGTCTAGAGATACTATAAGCCATACAATGTTTCTGAAATTGGGATGGAATATAGATAGGTTGCAGTAAATAGATGTAACCGATTTATAAAATTGAAAATGAACTCTTTGGAGCCAATCTCAACTGAAAAAAGTACCTGTTACATACTAAAGGAACTCAATATATAAATACACTACTTTTACCATACAGTTATTTTTTACATATATCCATTAACAGTATAAGGAATATTTTACTTGGTTAAATATACATTAGTATCTCAGAACTAAATCAGTGATTTTGTTATATTCAACATTGTTTCTGAATTATTTTTACACTATTACACTGGAACAATTTTCTAAAATATGCAGGTTCAAATTATAAAAGAAAAATACTCTTTTTGAAAATTCAAGGATTTCTATCTTTCTGAATTCCAACAAATGATAAAGCTCCCTTTCTTGCCGTCTATGTTCTACATAATGTGATGCTTCCTCACAAGGACCAATATCCATATCATTTATCTTGTTATCACTAGTAGCATACAGCAGAGAGGAGACAATGCACTCAATCTTCCCATTTTCCAGACTTTCTTTGTGGATTGCCTGTATATACTCTGGGAAGTAAGGAAGACAAATAAGGCTTTATTAAAACTAAAGTGTGAATGCTGCATACTTTATATCACACATTGCTTCTACCTTTCTATTTCTATATCAAATAAATGTATAAAATAAAATGTAGATTGAACAAATGAATGCTTTAAATCAAATCAATATGTTACAGTAGTTTACAAAATACTTTGTTTTTATTCAATGAATTCTAAAAAGTTATTTCTAACAGTCATATCCTTGTATTATAAAATCTGCACAATAGCTTAACTAATGACAGCACAATTTCCAATGCAAACAACAGCAATAAAATGTATAAAATATTGTAAATAATAGGTCTTTTGGACACATATTACATATTAAAATATTTTTCTTTACGGATCTCTAAGTTCTTGAGTTTGATTTATAGAAATATTGTACTATTGAAAAAGAAATATAAATAGCAAGATATCTTTATCACAATTGCCCTAATTCATGAAGACTATGTATTTTGCATCTACAACTCACAATCACTTGTTTTGGAGTGTTTGATGACTGATACTTTAAGCACACGTTTGGCTAGTTACAATGACCTCACAGTTGTATACTTATGTACTGAATTGAAATATTCAGAATAAGTGATAAGCATTGACTGATATTTGGATTTGACCTGATTCAGCAATTCAGGAAATAGACCAGTTCATCAAATCCCCATACTTTCTGTAACTACCCTGGAAAACTACAAATAGCTGTAGCTTTTCACAGAAAAATATACAGCCATAGACACTACTGAGGGTATGAAATCTAGCCAATCTTATAGGTGACCGAATTTTGGAGAATAGCACTCTTTCACTCCTTTAAAGAGGTTTAGAATGGAGCCTTTAGTTTGTTTTGTTTTGGGACAAAATGGATTACTACAAAAAGAATGTGATTCAAGTTCATACCTCCCTCCTTCCTTTTCCTTCCTTTGAATTTAGTAGCCACCCAATTCCAATAGACTCTTGGTGGTATACAAACTGAAACATCTAGGGAGCTATAAAGGAGATTATATTATAAGAAAATCTCTATTACTCTTTCCTTCCTGCTTCTTCTCTCTCAAAGGTTTTCACATGAAACAAAAATTAAATGTAGTGGGCACAGAGTCATTGTTTTTTTCTTTTTGCAAATGCCCTCTGTACATTGCTTCATAGCACAAAGCATCACACTTCCAACTCAATTCAGATTACTTTAGAAGGATTTTGTTTTTTCTCTTTATGAAGGTACAAAATCAAATGTGCATCCTTAATAAATGTGTGAACATTTAAAATTACTTGTGATTTATTGATTTCTACATCATTATATAAAATAAAAGGACATGGGAAGAAGAAAAAAAGTAAAAACAAACCAAAGATAGTTGAGTATATAGGATGGTTTCACTGAACCAGCTGAGGAATAAATGGGGCAGTGAGTTTGGCTAAAGCTTGGAACAAAGCAAGCTCTAATAAACTGAAAGCTGTAGCAAGAACATAAATCTTTTTAAAAATGGAATGCTCTGCCAAACTAAAAAAAGTATGCTTAGACGCCATATAAACATAGTCAAAAACACTTTTAAAAGGAAAAGGGAAGTGAAAAGTATTGAGTCATCATAAGCATTTTTACAAAGTAAGTACCCTGTCAAATGGAAAAATAATGATTTAAGATATTATTACAGAATTCAGTTGAAAGAATAAACAACTTTTCAGAAGATCTTTACAAATCTGCATTTAGCTGATTAAATAAGAACAGATATCTCCAAAACATCCCCTTTTGATAACTGATTGCCTTTCAATGAGAATAGGCCTACTGGAAAATAAAAAGTGGTTTTAACATACTGTATTGCACCAAGTTTCTAAGCTAGTTTTATTAGAAGTCCCATACCCACAAACTTTAACAATGGTGCTATTTTTAATAAAAGTTATATAGTGCATAGCACATCAAGCTGTTTGTCTGCCTATTATCATTTATTTATTTATATAAATATAGCAAGTAACACCATCGTAGCCCAAAACCTGAACAAAAAGTCAGATCTTCAAGGTTTTTTTAAAAAAACAACAACAAAGCTGTTACTCTCTGGACCTCTTATCCCACAAGAAAGCACTATTTAATGATAGAACCTGAAGCACACCAACTTTGTTTTATGTTATAGGCCAAACATGGATAAACAGCATTCCAAATGCCTGATGTTTTAGGGAACAAAATAAAAACATCTTTCTAATTCTCCTGGATGCCTTTCTCCTTTTGATTCCCTCTTTCCTCCCTGCACTCTCAAACCACTATTAAAGCCTGGTTTATCTCTGAACAAAAGTCTACCTGTAACGGGTTGTGGTTTTCTGTTGCAAATTCTCAATTCCGTTCTTTTTCGCAGAATGTTATGAAATTGACAGGAAAGATGTTTTTCTTCTTCTATGACTGAACTATGTCACACAAAGTGAAAATTGCTTTAAAACAATGGTGAGGTTACATACAGTACATGTACTAATTCAGGCATTCTGCATAAGCCATAATTTACAAAATAGCTGAAGCTGCACATTGGAAATAAAATTTAAAAGTCCTATGAATGCCAAATAGCAGAAGGAAAATATTATCTCCCTGTTTTTTTAATTATAGCATTTAACTTACAGATGGTGTTTATATTTAATTTGTTTTTCTCCCTATGATGCATGTATCACACATTCATTCATTCTCTGCTCCACTGGAATTAAATAATGAATAAGAAAGCAATTCCAAATTTTCTTTTAATTTTTTTTTCATTTCTTTGCTTTAACATTAATACTGACTAAATTATCTACCATTTTTAAGAGGGATTAATGATTCCAATCAGTATTACCGTAAATACCGACGTACAAGGCGACCCGGCGTATAAGACGACCCCCGTCTTTATAGCCGGGCCGCATTCCTAGAACGTCGTCTTATACGCCGGAAACTACCAGTATTTCCGGCGTATAAGATGACTCGGTGTATAAGACGACCCCCGTCTTTGGCGCCGATTTCAGCGCTTGCAGAAGTCGTCTTATACGCCGGCATTTACGGTACCACTGTTTATCACAAAAAAAAATATTAGTCTACACTTTTGTGATCTAGGTACAGGTTATCTGATTTCAACATCTTGCAATCTTTACTTTGTATCACAGTACGACAGTTTAATGGCAAAGCATCAATTTTAGTTAATTGAAGAATTCTGTTTAATTTTTCCTTACCAACATGTGCATTAATTTATCTTATAATATAATGTGAATGTTCAGCCACACTTACAATAGATACAAAAAAATTAAGCCTCCTAGAGATTATATTATTCTATTATAATCCAGAAGGAAAAATAAACACTATATCAAGTATTCTAATTCTGAAATAGACCTATATGTAACCAGTTGACTAAAAAATAATCAGTAGAAACCAATGCTTCTGAATAAGACAGAGCATAAAACATGTTTCTGAAAAGAGCAGCAAACTATACCATTTTCTTAAAACATAATTTCTCCACAAGGTCATGATTTTCTTAAAGATGCTTTTTGGCATTTTGTCTGGATCTCAATGAATAATTCCGTCTCACAATTGCATAGCAGATTAAGCAGCAACAGTGGTGATCAGGTCTATTAAGTCAGATCTTAAGGGATATATAATCCAAAATTCTAATCAACTTCAAAAACTGAGATAACAATATTGAAAAACCAAGAATATGCCACCCTTTTCAAATTAATAAATAAATGATTATACTAAATATGGAAAATAAATCTAAACATGAAAGTACATCTCTTTTAAAATATAGTTTATCTTGAAGCAAAATGTTACTTTCTTCTGAATTATAAACCAACATTTAAAAAAGATGTCTTTACATTTTTTTTCATATTGTGGTTCACATATCACAGATACTTAACAGTGTTCAAAATTTAGTCATACAATAATAAAACAAATACCCTGGTACACATTTTTCTATTGTTCCCGCTATTGTTCTGCCAGCAGAACACTGAACAAGTCAATATTTATTTAACCCAGTTAAAACTCTAGACTTGTTCTCCTAACAAGCCAGGTTCTAATAATAACCTGTTGAATGCAAGCTCCTTTCCAGCAGAAGTAATTAGAAGTATGTAGAAGCTCTTACATGTATTTGTAACAAATCAAAGTAATTTCATAGAAAATTGATCTATAAAATAGCCCCCAGATTCTCCCATCAGGAGCCAAAATGGTACTTCATTTCATCTTCATTTTGTCACATTATGAAATTCTTTTCCTGAAGGAAAAAGCATCCAATATATTGGATAATTAAGGATCTGCAGCAATGCTTGCATACCTTGCAAATTATCCTTCTTCTTAATAGAATAACTGTTCATCTTTATTGTAGTCAGTGGCTTTACTAATATTATCAAGGCTCATGCCTTATTGTTTGTTATCTGCTGCAGCAAACACTTGTCCTAACCATTGCCTCTTGAACTTCAGCACCTGTATCATCAAGCATGACTCCTGCGGAAAGGTAACATTGAAAAGTAGTGTCTGAAAAGTGCAAGATATGTATCCTTTCTGGACTACCAATATATTTATATTTATATAAAATATTGGAAACTACATTAGCTGAACCAAAAAAAAGAACAGGTTAGTTATGGAGTTTAAGCAATAAATCAGTATTCCCATTATAAGTTCTAACAGGGAATCAAAGAGAAACAGCAACTAGCCCTACCACTAATCAAAAATATAGGAAAAGGAAAAGGACTCTGCTATAGTTTATTTATAAAATTATATCTTCTTTGCGTTCAAATAAACTAATACTTTTATTTACTATTACGAACTATTCTGCATCCAACCTTAAAAGCCACAAAATCATTATTGGGTCTATGAATCCATTCTCTAGTGCTGAATGTACAGTATATCAAAAGACAGAAATACCTTAACAGTTCCAGCTATGTTTGCTATATCTGTAATGTACAAGACATAGTACATGAAGAACAAAAGCTCTGTACAATAATCAGTATAAAACTTTCATTAATGTCAGCATATATATATAAACACTGCTGTAATAAAAAAATTGAGGGAATTTATGTTGGATTAAGAAAAATAACATGATTAATCAACCATGTCAATAATTACTTTTAAACAATGATATATTTGAAATTATGATATAATACAGAATTAGAGAAAGTCTTATGGTCCAATAGGAGTAGAGGAGATGCTAAAAATCTATTTTAGCAATCAAAATATTGATAACAATTTTAATTATGCTGTTTAAGTAATGAAAGCAAGATACTTTACACTCTGGCGAGGGTGATAAACGTATGCAGTATATCTTATCCAAACTACTTACACAGTGCTAGAAGTGCTAGACTGTTATTATAATAAAAGTAAGAATGATTATTTTGGCAATGTAATTATAATAATTATAACTGAATAGTGTTTTGGGTAAACAAGGCATTTAAGTTACCCTTTTTCTCTAGAAAAAAATGCAATATTTTACTTTTTATGAAGATACAGCATTTCAAGCTAAAATACCTACTAATGATCAAATTCTAGATATGAAGCATTGAGGGCTCAAAAGTGCAATGAATATATTAAACCAGAATTTTAATATAATGTATAGCATTAATCAACAATAAATAATATAAAGTGAACTGTAAAATAAGCATTGCCTGGTTCCTTATGCTAATGAAAACCGAGGAAGACATAAAACTTCTTTTTATTAGAGAAATAAAATAACATAAAAGTTAATTAACCTTTTTATACTAATATGTATGTGATCTCTTATTAGTATAAATAAGAATATCAATTTTTAGATAATCATGGATATCAATTTTGGAATATCAATTTTTTGTTATGGCATAACTAATATTTTCAGAACCAAAGTTCTTACCATGTCTTTTCCATCTATGGCCCCGAATAGACATGCTGGTCACAGCATTTCTTGATATCCTCGATGCTGTAGGAGTAATTTCAACCTGAATACATTTAGTACCTTCTTTGTTAGATTTTATGGCACCTTGAGGCAATGAAGCTTTTATTGCATTAGCTACCTAAAGAAAATAATAATAATTAAATAAAATGTGGGTGAGATTGTCATGTTAACATTGGATTTTGCATTGTAACAATATTTATCATACATCAAGAATTGCATCAGATATGACAAAAATCAAGAGAGGTAGTAATTTGACTTCCATCTGTTCACAATTACTGCTTTAGTTCAGATGATTAAAGACTTCAATCAGAAAACATTTGCTCTAAAAGCTATTGCCAAATCCCAATAATGATTACATTTTCTCATCTTGTTTTTTTACGCCACCCACTAAACAGTGTACATTTTTTCCCATGACAATTTATTTCCTTTGTACAATCATTCTTTCAGTAGCTGAAATCTTTGAAACTAAGAATAATAATGTGTGTCTGCATAAAATCCAGAAAAGCATTTTCTGCCAGTTATTTGATGAACCATCTAGTATAATAGACTGTTGGTTTCTCACTAGTGAGACTTCCTCTTAGCTCCCAATGATCCTGCTAAAAATTGCTGTTCTCTGTAGCATAGAATATTTATGACTTCCGATTAATCCAATGTTGCAGATATATACAATAGGGCTGTGCAAAGCCTCTATTCTGAAGACAAAAATGTGCTCTTGACTATGCAAAACAATGATATGAACACAATACCATCGACACCTGTCTTTAGGGCATTGGAAAAAATAGTTTTAAGTTGCAGACACCTGCTGTGTTCATGCTCATTGCACTCTGAAGCATGAATCCAGTCCTGCTTTAGGCATAGGTGAAGCTTTAAACCAGTTATGTTCTCTCAGCCTTAGAAAGAAAGCAATGGCAAACTGTTTCTGAAAAGGTTGTCAAGAAAACTGCATAAATTTGTCCAGACAATTGCAAAGAGTTAAAACGGACTTGAAAGTTAAAAAAAGAAAAAAAGTAAAACATGGTTCAATTATCTGATACAAATATAAAACAATAACACAGGCCTGAACAGCCTGGGAAGTTTTATAAAATTGGAATTATGCACTTAAACTATGTCTATAAAAATTGCAATATAAAAACATTTTCATGAGTCACAAGGGCAAAGACACTGTTGAATATGACTATATCTGCCTGCAGAACTGTAACATATCAAAATGCGCTCTCATAAGTACTCTCCGTTGTTTTGTTGTTGTTGTTGTTAATTACGAAGTCGTGTCCGACCCATCGCGACCCCATGGACAATGTTCCTCCAGGTCTTCCTGTCCTCTACCATCTTCTGAAGTCCATTTAAATTCACACCTACTGCTTCAGTGACTCTATCCAGCCATCTCATTCTCTGTCGTCCCCTTCTTCTATTGCCCTCAATCTTTCCCAGCATTAGGCCCTTCTCCAGTGAGTCCTTCCTTCTCATTAGGTGGCCAAAGTATTTGAGTTTCAACTTCAGGATCTGGCCTTCTAAAGAGCAGTCGGGGTTGATCTCTTCTAGGACTGACCGGTTTGAACGCCTTGCAGTCCAAGGGACTCGCAGGAGTCTTCTCCAGCACCATAGTTCAAAGGCCTCAATTCTTTGGCGCTCAGCCTTTCTTATGGTCCAACTTTCACAGCCATACATTGCAACTGGGAAAACCATGGCCTGGACTATACGCACTTTTGTTGGCAGGGTGGTGTCTCTGCTTTTTAGTATGCTGTCTAGATTTGCCATAGCTTTCCTCCCCAGGAGCAAGCTTCTTTTAATTTCTTGGCTGCAGTCCCCATCTGAGGTGATCTTGGAGCCCAGAAAAATAAAATCTGTCACTACCTCCATTTCTTCCCCATCTATTTGCCAGGAATTGAGAGGGCCGGATGCCATGATTTTGGTTTTCTTAATGTTGAGTTTCAAGCCAACTTTTGCACTCTCCTTCTTCACCCGCATCAAGAGGCTCTTTAGTTCCTCTTCACTTTCTGCCATTAGAGTGGTATCATCTGCATATCTTAGGTTGTTGATATTTCTCCCGGCAATCTTAATTCCAACTTTTGATTCATCTAGCCCTGCCTTTCTCATGATGTGCTCTGCATATAAGTTAAATAGGCAGGGCGACAGTATACAGCCTTGCCGGACTCCTTTTCCAATTTTGAACCAATCAGTGGTTCCGTGTTCGGTTCTCACTGTTGCTTCTTGACCCGCATATAGGTTTCTCAAGAGACAAATGAGATGGTCTGGTACTCCCATCTCTTTAAGAACTTGCCACAATTTGTTGTGATCCACACAATCAAAGGCTTTTGCATAGTCAATGAAGCAGAAGTAGATTTTTTCTGGAACTCCCTAGCTTTCTCCATGATCCAGCGTATGTTGGCAATTTGATCACTAGTTCCTCTGCCTCTTCGAAATCCTGCCTGTACTTCTGGTAGTTCTCGATCCCCATACTGCTGGAGTCTAGCTTGTAGGATTTTAAGCATAACTTTACTAGCATGTGAAATGAGTGCAATGGTGCGATAGTTTGAACATTCTTTGGCATTGCCTTTCTTTGGAATTGGAATTAAACTGACCTTTTCCAATCCTGTGGCCACTGTTGAGTTTTCCAAATTTGCTGGCAAATTGAGTGTAGCACTTTTACTGCATCGTCTTTTAAGATTTTGAATAGCTCAGCTGGAATACTGTCACCTCCACTAGCTTTGTTGTTGCTCAAATTTTCTAAGGCCCATTTCACTTCACATTCTAGGATGTCTGGTTCGAGGTCAGTGACCATCTCATTGTGGTTATCTGGGATGTTAAGCTCATTCTTGTATATTTCTTCTGTGTAGTTTTGCCATCTCTTCTTAATCTCTTCTGCCTCTGTTAGGTCTCTGCCATTTTGGTTCTTTATCATGCCCATCTTTGCATGAAACATTTCCTTCATATCTCCAATTTTCTTGAAGAGATCTCTGGCCCTCCCTATTCTGTTGTTTTCTTCTATTTCTTTGCACTGTTCATTTAAGAAGGCATTCTTATCTCTTCTAGCTACTCTCTGTAATTCTGCATTCAATTGGGTGTATCTTTCTCTTTCTCCTTTGCCTTTCGCTTCCCTTCTTTCCTCAGCTATTTGCAAAGCTTCCTCAGACAGCCATTTTGCTTTCTTGCATTTCTTTTTCTTTGGGATGGTTTTAGTTGCTACCTCTTGTACAATGTTGCGAACTTCCATCCATAGTTCTTCAGGCACTCTGTCTATCAGATCTAATTCCTTAAATCTATTTGTCACCTCTACTGTATATTCATCAGGAATATGATTTAGTTCATACCTGAGTGGCCTAGTGCTTTTCCCTACTTTTTTCAATTTAAGCCTAAATTTTGCAACGAGAAGCTCATGATCTGAGCCACAGTCAGCTCCTGGTCTTGTTTTTACTGACTGTATACAGCTTCTCCATCTTTGGCTGCAGAGCACATAGTCAATCTGATTTCTATGTTGACCGTCTGGTGATGTCCATGTGTAGAGCCGTCTCTTGGGTTGTTGGAAAAGAGTGTTTGTTATGACCATCGTATTCTCTTGACAAAATTCTATTAGCCTGTGCCCTGCTTCATTTTGTACTCCAAGGCCAAACTTGCCTGTTATTCCGGTTATCTTTTGGCTTCCTACCTTAGCATTCCAATCCCCCATGATGATAAGGACATCATTTTTTGGTGTTAATTCTATAAGGTGCTGTAGGGCTTCATAGAACCGGTCAATTTCATCCTCTTCAGCACCAGTGGTTGGGGCATAGATTTGGACTACTGTGATATTGAATGGTTTGCCTTGGATTCGAATTGAGATCATTCTGTCATTTTGGGGATTGTATCCCAGTATTGCTTTTCCTATTCTTTTATTTACTATGAAGGCTACTCCATTTCTTCTGAGGGATTCTTGCCCACAGTAGTATACCTGATAGTCATCTGAGTTAAATTCACCCATTCCTGTCCATTTTAGTTCGCTGATTCCTAAGATGTCAATGTTCATTCTTGTCATCTCTTTTTTGACTACGTCTAGCTTGCCTTGATTCATGGATCTTACATTCCAGGTTCCTATGGAGAAAAAATCTTTACAGCATCAGACTTTCCTTTCACCACCAGATATATCCACAGCTGAGCGTCCTTTCGGCTTTGGCCCAGTCGCTTCATTCTTTCTGGCGCTACTAGTACTAGCCCTCTGCTCTTCCACAGTAGCATATTGGACACCTTCCGACCTGAGGGGCTCATCTTCCAGCGTCATATCTTTTTTCCTTTTAGTACTGTCCATGGGGTTTTCATGGCAAAGATACTGGAGTGGTTTGCCATTTCCTTCTCCAGTGGATCACATTTTGTCAGAACTCTCTGCTATAACCTGCCCGTCTTGGGTGGCCCTGCACAGCATAGCTTATAGCTTCATTGAGTTATGCAAGCCCCTTCGCAGTAATCCATGAAGGGGATTACTTTGTTTATGTAATGTCAAACAGAAGATACAAAACAGGTTTCCTCTATGCCAGGGGTAGGCAACCTCATCTCTTTTATGACTCATGGACTTCAACTCCCAGAATTCCTGAGTCAGCATATACTCATAAAAGAGACGAGGTTGCCTACCCTTGCTCTATGCAAATGACTCAGTTTCACAATCCATCACATAAGAAGGCAACATGTTACTGAAAACTATTATCCTCACATTATTGCTTTACAGATACTGATGCTTACTCGTAGCACCAGGAAAGGCCACTTTCCACTTTAGATGGAAAATTAGATTAACCCAGGCAAAATTATTTTTGGCCAATACTTGCTAAATGTAAGCCAGGCTTTGTTTTCAACTTTCAACATTCAAGACAGTAATCATGAAGTTTTCTTTGATGCACATATTTTAGAAATCCAAAATTGCTGTGAGAAATCTAAATTGCAGCACTCTGTAATTACAATAAGGGCCCAATTCTGTATCATACAAAAGCTGATTTTGCCTTTATGGCACTCTTTTGATAATTTACCTCTAAGCATTATTCACTAAAATGATGGGCTTATGCCCTCAAATCCTTCCTAAAATAAAAAACATTATTGAGAGCAACACTACAGTTGCATACAATAATACTGGAATGTTTAAATCAACTACTTTAAGTGGTGGTGCTCCACTGTCTCTAGAGTTTGAACTAAGATTGAAAAGTAAAATGCTAAAATATAATCTTGTTTTACAATCTTTTTGCATTGGTATTGTAATCTGTCCCATTCAGATTACATTTAACTCTTACACAGGTGCTAATGTGTTGATGACAAACAGTATACCTGTTTGTCCCCAAATTTGTCTGTCTCCTGAACTTACAACTATTTGTTTAGTAACCATTCAAAGTTACAACAGCACTGAAAAAAGTAACTTATGACTAGTTCTCACACTTACAACTTGGCAGCTGGCATGTATTTATGACAGTTGCACTGTCCCGGGGTCATGTGATCACCATTTTTGACCTTTCCAATCAACTTCTAGAAAGCAATGTCAATGGGGGATGCCAGGTTCATTCTAAGACTGCATGATTCACTTAATAACTACAATTAGTTGCTTAACAATTGTGACAAAAAGGTCATAAAATGGAGAAAAAAATAAGACTAAAATATTGTCAAAAAACATGACTAACTCGGATAAGGAGATTTTAGTTAGACTGACAGGTTTCGAGGTTGTTGATAAGGTAAAATATCTGAGGGTTATCTTATCTGCTTCCAATGCAAAACTGTATAAAAATAATTATGAAAGGCTGTGGTCTAAAATACAAAAGGATTTAGAGAATTGGAAAAAGTTGCAATTGTCTCTACTGGGGAGAATAGCAGCGATTAAAATGAATATCTTGCCAAAGTTTCTTTTTCTATTTCAAATGATACCTATTTTAAAGAAAGAAGCAAATCTAGATGAATGGCAGAAAGGTATCAATAAATTTGTTTGGGCAGGGAAAAAACCAAGAGTGAAACTTAAAATTATACAAGATATACGAGAGAGAGGTGGACTCAAGGTACCGAATTTGAAATTGTATTATGATGCTGTGGTTTTAACATTAATTAGTGATTGGGTTAATTTAACAAATGTAGATATACTCCTTTTGGAGGGGTGGGATTTATTATTTGGATGGCATGCCTATTTAATTTATAATAAAAAAGTTGATAGGGTTTTTAAGTATCATATTTTAAGAACTTCTTTACTTCGTGTTTGGAAGAAATATTATAGAATTGATTCAAGAATTCCATTATGGGCTATTCCATGGCATGCAATAGAAGGAATAAGGAAAGGAGTTAAGATGGATAAGATTTCTTATATACAATTACTTAAGTGGGATGGTAAAAATTGGCAATTAAAATCCATAGATGAATTAGCACAAGAAAATATTAATTAGTCATGGTTTCAGTACAGACAATTATTGGAAAGGTGGAAGATAGATTATAAAGTGGGTTTGCTTAGAGAGGATGAGAACTTGTTAAAACAAATTAGAGATCAAAGCCGAACCCACATAAAAAGAATTTATGGTGTATTAGTGGAATTGGATTCAGAAGCAGAATTAGTTAAAGATTGTATGGTTAAATGGGCTCAAAATTTTGATGAACCGATTCTATTAGATACATGGGAGACTATTTGGGTGAGGAATGTTAAATTTACACAAGCGCAAAATTTACGGGAAAATTTCTATAAAATGTTTTATAGATGGCACGTTGATCCACAAAAAATGTCTCGTATGTATTCAAATTTGCAGCCTAAATGTTGGAGATGTGGTTGCTTGGACGCAACGTATTATCATATCTGGTGGTCATGTAAAAGTGTAAAAGCCTTTTGGATTAAGATATGGTGGAATATTCAAAGAATTTTTAAAAGAAGGATAAAATTTACCCCACAACTGTTTTTGTTGGGTATTGTTTTTGATTGTGATGACAAGGAGATTATTTTAATGTTAAATTTAATTACAGCGGCAAGGTTGTTAATAGGGCAATATTGGAAGAAGGAATCTTTGTCTACTATCAAGAATGGTTTTTTAAAGTTTCTTACTTAGCTGAAATGGCAAAAATTTCGGCTTTCTTGAAAGATCAATCGCAAGAGAAGTATCTCTTGGTGTGGAAAAGATGGATAAATTTTATACAATATATGATATAAGAAAATATCATTTAGCTTTTGAATAATTTATATTTAAAGTTTAAGATTTTTTGTGTTTTTTATTATTATTAATATTTTTTAATTTTTTAATTTTCTTTTTTTTTCTCTTTCTGTCTTTTATACATAATGGAATTAAAGTATTTAATAATTAGTTTACTGAATGTAATTATATTTGTTTAAGGTTTTTTTGGGTTTAAAAGGTTTTTTTCTTTTAAGTTCTAGTTAACCCTGTATTCAGCTCTGGGAAGAATGGGGGAGGGTTTTGGGGTGGGTTGGGAGGGATTGGGGAAGGGGTTTTTATTGTAAAATTTTAAAAATTTATAATAAAAAAGGGGGGAATTATAATACCTAAACCCCACTGGGTATCATAACATCTTATCAATATCTATGAAGACAGAAGCCAAAAGTGTAACTTATCACTTCATATTGACCTTAAATAACTCTGATATTTAAGACAGTTACTTCCTGGCATCTTTCCAGGCCTATTCTATTGAGAATTCTATTGCTCTAACTGAAAGCCAGTTTTGTCTGATTGTTAAGGCACACCAGGCTAGAACCAGGAGACTGTGAATTTTAGTCTCAATGTAAAAGTGAAAAGGTGGGTAACTGGGCCAGTGACTCTCTTTCAACTCAATCCATCTCACTAAGGTGTTATGGAGAAAATAGTAGAAGGAAAGAGTATTAGGTATGTTTGCCTTCTTGAGTTTTTTATAAAAATAATAAAGACAGAATTTTAAAAATCTAAATAAGACAAATATTAACTTTTATATCTTAGAAACTAAGCGAAGAGTACATCTTCAAAAAATGCTGAGCATGATCTATGTGGATGTTCCACTTCTCTACTAAGACATGGCTGATTATCGGAGAAGGATGTTTATGAGTAAGATAGTTGATCTTTCCTCCTTAAAGAACTAAAAAAGTTTATTAGTTTTGCAATCCAACAAATTTTTATTTCATTAATATTTGGAGAAATTATGTGAAAAATAATTCCTACCAACAGTGCCCTGGCATTTAGAAACTTGCTTTACTATTTAACTTATCAACAAAATGTTCTAATCAATTTTCAATGCAATGAAGTCAATTTTCAAACCATATAATCAATTTTACCTGTCCAGTGAAATCTTTAGGAAAAGTACTTTACACATTGTGATTAATTAAATTATCTGGTGGTGATAAAACAAATCAAGAAACAGATAATCTGGTAGTGACATCTATTACAAAACTCCACAATCTTAGAATATCAATTTAGTTCTTGTATTTTTTCCACTACATAAATACTTTATTTATTACAAAAATAATTCAACGTATCAATAATCTGTTTTTGTTTCTTGTTATAGAATGTTAGGACAACTGCGCAGTCCATGAGAACATGATTTTCAGAAAGTTTACTTTGTTTTAAATTATTTTAAGCATTATAACTGGTACTGTGACCAAATAAAAATTTGATGATGTGATGGGATGATGATGATGATCACTTAAACATTTTATGTTTCTGTTAAGTTACTTCAATTATGTAAGTTAAAAATACAAACATTTTCAAAATAAATTTAAAAACCTGATTGTAAAGAATAAATTTGACATAAAACACCTACCAATAGAGGTTCTGGATATAACTCCAATTGTGCTCTGTATAAAACATCATCCATTGCTTTGCGAGCCAGATCCCATTCTCCATTATAACTAGAATGTTAAGCCAAAAAAATGAAAACTGACCGCATGCTATTATATAGTATGATTATTCTTTCATTATCATACCATGCATATTAGTCATGAACAGATATTTAGTAAATGGTTTATAATATTAAAAATTCAAAAATTATATATTCAAGAAAAATTAATAATATTAAGAAATATTTCAATGATTATGGAATATACTTTACTTCTATTCATTTGACTATGTCTAGGTCATCTTATTTTGTTCCCTTCTGTAATGTTAGGTAAGAAATATATATTGCAACTGTTATAATATTTTGGAAAATCAGATCGGCAATTGATTCTTTATATCTTTTGTTATAACATTCATATCCACCATGAATTCAAAATGGTTCAGTATGATAGAACAAGGATATGATGTTTCATAGTACTTTTTATAAACAAGTCAGATCTCAGTGATTTGTTGCTCCATACCCTACTTTTTTAATGTCCAAGAGCCTCCCTAACCATACTACTGAAATTCAGTAGCTTTATTTCCTGAGATTATTAGCAAAGAGCAGTAGTGCAAGTCATAAGTATAATAATACAGGAAAAAAAGAAAAAAATGCTGCAACTCTACTGAAACCAGAAGAAAGCCTGAAAATGTATTGCACCATGCATAATGAAGTTCCACCCATTCAACATTCACTCTTGGTCTGTATTTCAAGGTGGTCATGAATTCAATGAATGGACTTATAAGTTACTCTTTTTCAAGCCACATGCCAAACAGAGTAAGTCCTAAAACCTTCCAGAAAGATTAATCTTTCTTGTACCTACAGTATACAGTACCAAGTGTCAAATGAGATGGGACAAAGCATTGATGTAACTGAAATCTCTAACGTTTTCAATCAGTTAGTATGAAACTACTAAATGACTTGTTATATATGGATATTATACTAACTCTTTCTCTACATCTACACACACACACACACACATACACACACACACATACACAGATAGGCAGACAGATATATATATTCTCTATAGAAGCATTAGTGATCAGACTACATTGATAAAATTTGTGCACGGGAAAAAATTAATATCTCCTCTACATCACTACTAGAAAGCAGTTATAAGGGTCTGCTAATGTTAAGATACAAATATTTGCTGTATCTAAATCAGAATGTTTTTGTCATGACTATTTTTGTACCAGAATGAAAATTTGCCTTTCAATATAGTTTCCCAATAGTCCTGGAAAATAGTAACATGTTAACCATCAGGATTTCACTAAAATTACTAATTAAAAGCTTAGATTAGATTATTTTCAAACAGAATGCTACCTACAAGAGAAATTTGGACACTTAGGAACATCACAAATTCCATAGGATTACATTAAATTCAAGATTTGGCATATTTAGCATATATGTTTTTAACATTTAATATTTAACTTTTCCTTTCACACAATATTAATTTAGATACAATTAATCCTGGCTAAGAACTGGGAGGTAGGTAGGTGTTGAGCACCACTATGGTCATAAATATAAGCAAGCTGCCAATCATTCAACTAATGGGGGCCATTACTTCAGGGATTCTTTTAGCACCACCATAACTGTAAATGGTCAATGGTTGTTAAATAAGAACTATCTGTAATAATTTCATAATCACCAGCTTGTGGGCATAGGATATTTAATCACTTCATGTATCTATTGTGGTTTGCTGATAAATGTTTAACAACTAGCTCTGCCATCTCCATTGCTACCACTGCCCCATGTGAAACCAGCATTTTGGGAAAGGAAGGATAATTTTTCAGATACTAAAGAATATTTTTTAAGCATCTGATTGTACTAATCAAGATTAGTATAGATTTTGCAGTTTTCCTCATGAAACTACTTGTCTGCTTTGGTTTTACTTAACAGAAATGATAAGCAGATTTTTTTTTTCATTTTGTGGGGCCAAAATCAACTGTCATTCAAGAAGTCACTGGACAGTTTATAAAAACAATAGCAAGAATGCTGAAAAATTCTTACCTTTAGAATGTCAGTTGTGAAAGCTCTGAATTCTGCCTCTGCTATCATGTAAATAACCATTCCATTTTGTATTATATACAATCTGCTCTAAAAATCACTATACATGTATATACAAGATATATTTGAACTTACAAAGCATAATAAATCCCTGTTAACATTTGCACCATGAATTCAGAGGAGACTGGAATTCTGCTGTTTATGCCTCTATATTTTCTTATTTGCTGGCGAGGGTATCCACAAACACAGATTCTAAAAGAAATACAAATATTAAAATCAACATTACTATTTTAAAATTGCTGTATTATACTGTCCAATACAACCTTAAAATATTATGGATTTAAAAGTGAAAAAGAACTATTCCCAAAACAATCAAGAAACAAGTAATTCTTCTGTAGGCCAAATAGGTGGGTCAGCAAAGTGCACATACTGTTTAGGAGCGTAACATAGGATCTTTTAAATATTAGTGGTAAAGTTTAAAAAATAAAAAGCTTTACATATAGTATATATTCCCCTACCCCCAAAATAAAATTAGTAGATTGCCCAATACTGCACTTCCAAAACATTAGAATCTCTCAGTTAGGTAACCCCTGATGATCTCACTGTCTTTCAAGATGATCCAAACCATTAAGTAAACTATTTTTTGGTCACAACAGGTTGTCCTTACTTTCTGAATATTTGTTCAGTGACCAAAGTTACAAAAGTGCTGCAAAAATAACTTTATTGCCAATTTATCACCTTCTCTTAGAGCAGAGACATTAGAGAGAAAGGGATTGCAGGAGAGTAAGTTGTTTGCTCTTCCACACACTGAATGCAATATAATGGTGAAGAAGCCTGGGACTTGGAGCTGCAGGTATACTACACAGTTTACAGTACTCTTTTGAAATCTCTTCCTCTTTCCTTTTCCTGAATCTTGGACTCTGATTGAGCAGGCAGGCTGAGTACCTGGGGCATGATCTGGTAACGTGATCTGGTAATGTGTTTTACCTGCTGACTTGAGGAAGTAGACAAGACTCTTTGTGTATTAATTTAGTTATCTGTTTACTCCTTCTGGGTTCCTCCAGACCGTGAAAGGGAGGTGATCCACAACTAGGTCCTTATTGTAGTGTCAACCTCTTTGATAAAGAGATTGTGCCCCCAGCCTTCAAAAAAGGCTGCAGTGCACCCAATAGTTTTCAATAACTTTTGACCAATCTCCAACCTTCCCTTTCTGCGACTGCTGGAGGAACAGATTAAATAGACAGGCAGACAGGCAGGCAGACAGTTCTTAAGATGTCTTAAAATATGGTCCCATCACAATTATATAGTGACTTGAATTAATCATGCACCTCAAATAGTTTCATTCTTTCAAACATGAAGAAATCAATTATAAAAGATTATTGTTTTTTTCTTCTTGTTTAGGGGAGGTTCTTACAGAGAAGTCCTAGGTATGAACTACTAAGAATAATATACAATGCAGCTTCTAAACATTGACATTGGAAATTTAATTTATGAATTGAACAATCAACTGTTGCTGTGTTAATTAATAATATTACTAATGTATGTAGGAAGTTCAGTAAATACATTTCATCTTTTTTGCTTTCAGGGCTGAGTGTGATTAACATGAGCTTTCAAAATATATAGAAATTCTACCATTTCTTATACAATATTTTGCATAATTGTTATATAGCCCGGTGAAGTGTACTCATTCTGTGTTGTACTTTCCTTATTCAATGAGCTATTTTGTTTCTCCTTGCATATGGATCTTTTGATTCAAACCAGCATGAGAGGGAGGGAGGGAGGGAGGGAGAGAAACAATGCCCTATTCCAGTGACAGCAAACCTTTTAGAGACCGAGTGCCCAAACTGCAACCCAAACCCCACGTCTGTATAGTTGGGTGCCAGGTGGGCACGACCCATTGGGTAGGTGTGGCTGCAGTGCTAACAGAAGATTAGGTGGGACTAAAAAGTTCAATCAATTCCAACTTTGCAAGATCTTTTTTTTTCCAGTGAAAAGTTGAAATTGATTGATTGAACCTTTTTTTTTTTTGCACATGACAGCGGAGGCCTAACGCGAAAAGGTTTTATAAAACCCAGCTGAAGGCCTAGGACTGGGGCGACAGCGCACGTGCCCACAGAGAGGGCTCTGTGTGCAATCTGTGGCACACATGCCATAGGTTTACTATCACGATCCTATTCCATTGTCAAAAACAACAGTACTGAAGCCAAAGCAAAAGTCTTCCAGTGAGTTACAAAAATTACAACCTGGATCAATGAATATTAATTCTTTTCATAAAGCAATATATTAATACATTTTATTAATACAATAGCACATAATGGTTAATAAATGAAACTGAATCACAATATGGCTATAAAGAGCTTATGCCTCTGGGAAGGTCTGAATTCTCACATGTTCTATTTAACAGGGATTTGATAAGCTGCAGTTATGTCAAAATTACCTTTTTGTTCTCTCCTATACAGGTTTTTGTTTTTAGTGAAATGTATTCTTATATAATTACAACCTTAAGTTTATTATTATCAATCTCTTCAAAAAAAATTACCTTGAACAGATTTGACATAAAGACTGAAGAGAAACCGCAGGCATATAGCTTAAGGCAGCATTGTATCGCAGCAAAAGAAATGTCAATACTTCAAATCTATAAAAAAAAGGATTATGATTAAGTCAAAAGAGTGTCATTAATCATGCAAAAAACCATTTCCTGTTCACTGATCGTATCAACAATATATATATAAGCCATGTTTTTTAAAAACTGCATTTGTTAAATATTAATTTATGAGAAAATAATAATTTGGAAATGCCCAGATTATTTCTTTAATCTTTATAGTTGAAAACAATATCATGCATTTTACCTGTTTTGAGCTGTCAACATTTCTCTCTGCATATGAGGTCCACTATATACAACCTTGGATAAACCGTGTTGAGATAAAGCACCCTCAGTAAGAGCCATTGAACCAATACTGGAAGGCTAAACAAAATAGTTTTTTTCAATATATCACTTAAGAAGGCATTAGTAATTTTTAAAAAAAGAAAAAGAAAACAGTAAGCAGTTTATAACATCAATAAATTTTGGCCAGTCATTGTCTCATCCCATATCTTTATTTTAACTGATGATATTTCAAAGTGTGAAAATATCAGTGGAGAAAACTAAATACTACAACAAACAGCTTTCAAATATCTTCAAAGATTTATTCAAATCTATACTACTTTTTAACTATATTAAATAAATATTCCTCAATTGAGTATATTTGTCCACACAATACAAATATCTTTCTGGGAAGTAATATGGATATAGATTTTTAAAATCTTTGTAAGTAATAAATTATCAATGTATATTTAATTTCAATGAATACAGTGGATATAAAAAGTCTACACATCTCTATTAAAATGCCTGGGTTTTGAAATGTAAAAAAATCAGATCAAGATAAATCATTCAATTTTTTTTCCATCTTTAATATACAATACATTCAGAAAGTATTCAGACCCCATTCATTTTTGTCAATTTTGTTATACTGCAGCCTGATCCTATAGTTGTTGAAATTCATTTTTTTTCTCATTAATCTACACTCAGTACCCTATAATGGCAAAGTGGAGACAGAATTTTATAAATTCTGTAAATTTATTAAAAAGAAAAAAACTGAAATATTACATTGGCATAAGTATTCAGACTCTTTGAAACAGCACTTGAAATTTAGCTCAGGTGCCTATTTCTCTTGATCATTGTTGACATGTTTCTACATATTGATTGGAATTGACCTGTAGTAAATTAAATTGATTGGATAGGATTTGTGAAGATACACCTCTCTATAGAAGGTGACAATGCATACTGTAGCAAAGCAAAAGCCATGAGGTCTAAGGAAATGCCTGCAGAACTCACGAGACAGGATTATTGCAAGGCATAGATCTGGGGAAGGCTACAATAAAATTTCTGTTGCACTGAAGGTTCCTAAGAATACAGTGGCTTCCATAATTCTCAAATGGAAGAAGTTTGGTACAACCAGGACTCTTCCAAGAGCTGATTGCCCAGTCAAACTGAGCAATCAGGGGAGAAGGCTGTAATAAAAGAGGTGACCAAGAACCCGATGGTCACTCTGTCTGAGCTCCAGAGATCCTGTGTGGAGATGGGACAGAGTTCCAGAAGGACAACCACCGATTTGGGCTTTATGTCAGAGTGGCTAGATGGAAGCCTCTCCTCAATGCAAAACACATGAAAGTCTCTTTGGAGTTTGCAAAAAAAGTACTTGAAGGATTCTCAGACTGTGAGGAAGAAGATTCTCTGGTCTAATGAAACCAAGATTGAACTGTTTGGCTTCAGTTCTAAATATTATGTCTGGAGGAAACCAGGCACTGCTCATCACCTGCCCAATATCATACCAACAGTGAAGTATGGTGGTGACAGCATCATGCTAGGGTTGTTTTGAATAGCAGGGACTGGGAGTCTGGTGAGGATTGAGGGAAAGCTGAATGGAGCAGAGTACAGGGATATCCTCAATGAAAACAATGCTCAGCACCTGTTCAATTTTCAACATGACAACAATATGAAGCACACAGCCAAGTCAACACAGGAGTGGCTTAGGAACAACTCTGTGAATATCCTAGAGTAGCCCAGCCAGAGCCCTCACTTGAACTCTACTGAATATCTCTGGAGGGACCTGAAAATAGTTGTCCACTGATTGTCGCCATCCAACCTGACTGAGCTTGAGAGGATTTGCAAGGAAGAATGGCAGAAAATCCCCCAATCCAGTGTGCAAAGCTTGTCATGTCATACCCAAAAAGACTTGAGGCTGTAATTGCTGCCAAAGTTGTTTCAACAAAGTACTGTTTGAATACTTATGCCAATGCAATATTTCAGTTTTTTCTTTTTAATAAATTTATAAACATTTTTAAACTTCTGTTTTCAGTTTGTCATTATGAGGTACTGAATGTAGATTAATGAGAAAAAATGAATTTCAACAACTGTAGGATTAAGCTGCAGCATAACAAAATTGACAAAAGTGAAGGGGGTCTGAATATTTATTGAATGCACTATAACATACAAACAGTACAATTCAACTGAAAAGCAATCTGAAAACTTTTAGAGGGAAAAATAACAACAAAAAAACTACAACTTGCAGTCACAAGATCATCATTCAGGTTTTTGTAAACTGGCATGCATTTACAATCGTTGTAGCATCCTGAGATCACATGATTGCCATTTCTGATTTTCTCAGGAGGCTTCAAACAAGTGGGGGGAAGCTGAATTCACTTAACCACAGCAAAAGAAATCATAAAATCAGCGCAGTCAAGTGATGACTCACTGAACAACTGAATTGTTTAGCAGCAGAAGTTCCAGAACCTAGCCCCAGAAAGAATTTGTCTCCCCACCCAACTAGAAATGGAAATTATAGTGTAAGTCCCCATATTTTAAAAGACCTATGTGATATGGCCAATTTACTTTGTGGTTCTTTTCTGAAAATATAAATGCAGCCAAAGAATGCCCACTACTAATTTTGATGACAAAAGGCCAGATTATATTCTTTTAAGGGAGACTAGAACAAAGCTATAAACATTGTATAAAACAAGAATACTTTTAAAACTTACTTCATGATATACTGAAGGTTTAGATAAAGATGGAATTGTAAAGCTTAGGATCCTACTATTCCCCTGTTTGTCAACTATTTCCTATGAGGAAAATAATCAACTTATTCATATGCATTTCATAAACTGTACACCAACAAACACAAAGCAGAACATAAGCTCCCAAATCATGCCATAATGTTTATTATAAACAAAGATGGAAATTTATGTTATGTCTATAATTACATACATAATTTATATGTAGCAAAATCTAAACATGTATTATTTGTTTAATCAAATTTACATAATACCCATCTCGCTCACAGAGTGATTGTGAAAACTTAATTCTTTACCTTCAGGCATTTAACTACTGTGCACCCTTTGAGTCATGTATTGTATTTTATTACTTTGGAAGACATCATTAAAAATCATAAGACAGTAATCTTGTGTGAAATAATATGAAAGAAAGAATAGCTGCAATATATGTTTTCATTTCTTTATTTATGAAATAAATACTATTAAAATGCTACAAAATATATCTCTTAAAATTAGGAATTATTACTTTAAAATGTTTTTGAAAGCAATATATCTAGTTCTATAAGAATCATTGCAGAGACCGTTCATGCATTTAAAAGAGTAATTAAATGCATTAGATTATTAGTATATTGTAATAAAATGCTCTTTAGGTTTTTGGGTGGCATTATTGATAATGCTCTGCCTATTCAGAGCTTATTAATTAAACTCACTGCTTCAGAAACTGGTATTTATTGTTTTCTACCTAGCATTTAATGCAATTGCCTCTTGAATCTCTAGACTTTCTGAAAACTTGTTTTCTCTTCTAGATATATATTTACTACACAAAGAATAACTTCATGCATTTGATAAAATAACTTCTGGCCTAAGAAAGCATATAGCCCAATAAAAGTTTCAAGAGAGCTTTTACATTAATAGTAAAGATACTGTTCTAAGTGCAACTAAAAGTTTTGAATCAGCAGTTAAATTTCCTTATTTTTACAGAATCAAAACATTATACATTTAAACTTTATATATGCCAGCAACAGTGGTATACTCAAATACCGGTAAAAAGAATTGAATACATTTAACGCTACTTCATGGGGGTTTTCAGGACATTATCATAGACAGCATTATATACAATAAACCAAAAGTAATTATATTACTAAGGTACTAATGATAATATATTATCACTAGTAGTATAATTACTTTTTGTTTATCAGTACAAACTTTGTAAAAAAGTACAGAGATAACATTAATTACCAGCAAAGAGATTCTGTCTCCTACCATTTTGAAAATGAAATTATTGAATTTATACCATATACTACAGCGAATGAAAATGTCAGAGCATACAATGTATGAATCCATTCTTCTTCATTCATATCTATTAGTAGAAATCATTTATCATTTATATATACCCATATATACTCAGCTATAAATTCACAGGTTTTCTGGAGGAAAATTTAAACTAAACAGCGGGAATAGTGAGTTAATTGATACAGAACAACCCTGTCCCCGGCAATCTAAAAATTATAGGGCTATCAGTGCATGGAACATAGATGTGTGTGGACAAGAATACCAACCTTGCTGTCAAGCAAAATCAAGCCTCTAATAGCGAGTGCCACATGAAGTGCACTAACCAAATAGGTGGTAAGACAATAGGGAAACTCAGCCACCACACAGGCTATGTAGAAAATAAACACAGGACCAGTCATAAGGACCAGGTTACTTACAGGACCGCATACTGCCGCACAGTTCCCAGAGACCAGTGAGGTCCCACTGATTGGGCCTCCTTCAGGTCCCGTCGGCCAGACAATGTCGGCTGGCGGGCCCTCGGGGAAGGGCCTTTTCTGTGGTGGCTCCGACCTGGTGGAATCAACTTCCCCCCAAGATTCGAACTACTCCTCCCCCTGCCAGCCTTTAAGAAAGCCATTAAAACTCTCCTGTTCCGGCAGGCCTGGGGCTGATGTCCCGGGGGGGGGGCGGGATATGATCAGACACGCTGTATGAATGTATTTATTTTATTGTTTTATTGTCATATTATTGTTTTAAATTTTGTACGCCGCCCTGAGTCCCTTGGGATTGGGCGGCATATGAATTTTAGAAATAAATAAATAAATAAATAAATAACTCAAATGTCTATACACCAATGCACAGAGTATGAACAGCAAACAGGGTGAACTAGAAATTCAGGTTAATGAGGGCAGATGTGAAATTGTTGCCATTACGGAAATATGGTGGGATGAAACCCACACATGGAATACACAGCTAGAGGGATTTAAATTATTTAAAAGAAACAGACCAAATAAAAGAGGAGGAGGAGTTGCTCTCTATATAAGAAATAACTACATCTCTACAGAAATAGAGCACAACAATGATGAAAACTGTCTTGAATGCATTTGGGTCAATATAAAAGGGGGGGGGGAGAAATGACATTGCCATAGGTGTATACTACAGACCACCCAACCAAACAGAGGAAATATACGAACTTTTTGCTAGTCAGCTAACTAAGGTATGTAGGAAGCACATCACAATAGTAATGGGGGACTTTAACTACACTGACATCAACTGGGAGACAAACTCTGCACCAAGTGAAAGATCAAACAGGTTCCTGGCAAACCTAGCAGACAACTTTGTCTCCCAAAAAGTAGAGAAGGGAACTGGGAGATTAGCCATTTTGGATCTAATTCTCACTGAGATGAAATGATAGAAGGTACTGAAGCCATAGGAACCCTGGGAGGAAGTGATCATGCAATATTGGAATTCAACATTATGGAAGCACAAGCAATAGAACACAGTCAAACTAGAGTCCTGGACTTCAAGAGAGCTAATTTCAATAAACTTAGAGAGGGCTTGGGAAGGATTCCATGGATGAGAATCCTCAAGGGGAAAACAAGAAGCTTGGAAAATTTTGAAAAATGAGATAATAAAATCCCAGTCTAGCACAATACCAACAAAGAGGAAAAATAATAGCCCTCAAAAGAAACCAGCATGGCTGCATAAAGAACTCTCTGACAAATTGAAACATAAAAAGGACAAGTATAGAAAGTGGAAAGAGGGGCATATAACTAAGTCAGAATATTAGCAAATAGCCTGAGCCTCCTAAGATGAAGTGAGGAAAGCCAAGGCTCAAAATGAACTAAGGCTTGCAACCAAAGTCGAAAATAACAAAAAAAGCTTCTTTCAACATGTAAAAAACAAGAAAAAAGTGAAGGAAATGATTGGTCCATTAATGAGTGAAAGTGGCAAGAAGGTGACAAGCAACAGGGAGAAAACAGAACTATTTAACTCGTTTTTTGAATCTGTCTTTACACAAAGGGAAAAAACAGACCAACCTATCAAAAATAGTGTCATAAAAAACAGAATAGAAACACAAGTTAAGATAGGCAAGAAAATGGTAAGTGAGCACCTGTCCAGCCTAGATGAGTTCAAATCACCAGGACCAGATGGATTACACCCCAAGGTTCTCAAGGAACTGGCAGATGTGATCTCAGAACCATTGAACTATATTTTTCAAAGATCCTGGAGCACAGGGGAACTACCAGAGGGCTGGAAAAGAGCTGATGTAGTTCCCATCTACAAAAAAGGGAAAAAAATGGACCCAGGAAATTACAGACTTATCAGCCTGACCTCAATACCTGGGAAGATCCTGGAAAAGATAATCAAACAACGAATCAGAAAACACCTAGAGGCAAACAAAGTCATTACTAAAAGCCAACATGGGTTTGTCAAAAATAGATCATGCCAGACAAATGTTATTGCATTCTTTGACCAAGTGACAAAATTAGTGGATCAGAGGAATGCTGTGGATATAATTTACTTGGACTTCAGTAAGGCATTTGATAAAGTAGATCACAACCTACTACTTGACAAGATAGAAAAATGTGGGGTAGATAGCACCATCACCAGATGGATTCGTAGCTGGCTGACCGACCATACTCAGTGTGTGGTCTTTAATGGAACCGCATCTACATGGAGGGAAGTTTGTAGCAGGGTGCCCCAGGGCTCTGTTCTGGGCCCAATGCTCTTCAACATCTTTATCAATGATTTGGAGGGGATAGATGAGGAACTCATCAAATTTGCAGATGACACCAAGCTGGCAGGAATAGCCAACACTCCAGAAGACAGGCTTAAGATACAGAAGGATCTGGACAGACTTGAATACTGGGCACTATGTAACAAAATGAAATTCAATGGTGAAAAAAGCAAGATTCTACATTTAGGAAAGAAAAACTAAATGTACAGATATAGCATAGGGGGTACCTTGCTCAATAGTAGTAATTGTGAGAGGGACCTCTAAGTCCTAGTAGACAATCATTTAAACATAAGCCAGCAGTGTGCTGCAGCTGCCAAAAAAGCCAACACAGTGCTAGGCTGCATTAACAGAGGCATAGAATCAAGATCACGTGAAGTGTTAATACCACTTTACAATGCCTTGGTAAGGCCACACTTGGAATACTGCATCCAATTTTGGTCACCACGATGTAAAAAAGATGCTGAGACTCTATAAAGAGTTCAGAGAAGAGCAACAAAGATGATTAGGGGACTGGAGGCTAAAGCATATAAAGAACGGTTGCTGGAATTGGGTACGTTAGTTTAATGAAGAGAAGGACAAGGGGGGACATGATAGCAGTGTTCCAATATCTTAGGGGCTGCCACAGAGAAGAGGGAGTCAAGCTATTTTCAAAGGTAGCTGAAGGCAGGACAAGAAGGAATGGGTGGAAACTAATCAAGGAGAGAAGCAACCTAGAACTAAGGAGAAACTTCCTGACAGTTAAAACAATTAAACAGTGGAACAACCTGCCTCCAGAAGCGATGAATGCTCCAATATTGGAAGTTTTTAAGAAGAGACTGGACAGCCATTTGTTCAAAATGGTATAGGGTTTCCTGCCTGAGCAGGGGGTTGGACTAGATGACCTCCAAGGTCCCTTCCAACATTATTATTATTATTATTATTATTATTATTATTATTATTATTATTATTATTATTATTATTATTATTATTATTATGGATCATCGCACAGTCAGCCAGATGTTCAGACTGGATTTGGCATTTTGTCTACCTATCGAGTCCTTACCCAGGACCTGGGAGA